AAAAAAAAAAAAAAATTAAAGGGTGTAATTTTATTTAAAAAAAAAAAAAAAAAAAAAAAAAAAAAAAAAAAAAAAAAAAACTCATCTAAACGATGTTGCCCTTTCATAAACCATATCAGGAAGACTAACCTGTTACTGAATGCATAACTCAAATATATGGTAATTTAAATTTCTCCCCCCCCCCCTCCTCCAATCCACACCCCAAACATGTAAATTACTCGTTGAATTGTTGTATCCTCAATCTACAAATTGTTTGTGCACCATGAACGAAACTATACGAAAAGATCCTATCAGAATAAAGATGTTCTTCCTGATTGTCATCTCTCACACTTTGTGTTAATAAGGCCATGCTTCACTGCTGCTAACTCTTCAGTCACATTTACAGTCGACTTTTCTTTGCTACTTAAGGATGAAGACTCTGTGTGTGTGTGTGTGTGTGTGTGTGTGTGTGTGTGGAGTGGGGAGGGTCAGAAAACAAACTGGTTTTCTTCTTAACCAACCAAGCTATACTCACATATTACAATAAAAAGCTTATTTCAACAGCTATACATTTCATATCATTGTTTTATTGCGTCTGTTGTTGTCAGTTAACAAGATAGCCACATTCTTAGGACTGTACTAATTCAAGAGCCACCAAGTTGATGACTAGCTTACTATACAGGGAGATATGCAACCCCATTGTTACCCTACCATCCCCATCAATACCACCATAAACCTAGCAGGATACAGTGCACAATTGAAATTGGGATTGTTTTAGGATACAATGAGTGGAATCAGAAATCACGTGCCATACACAACATTCTATTTATCTAGAGAAAACATAATGGAAACATCAAGGCTATGTCTTCAGATTCTTTTCAATTCTGAGAAAAGATACCGCCTCCATATCCCTAAATATGTTAAATTTTTTATTTGGGCTGAGAAAGCGTTCTGAAATTTTGTATGAGACTAAATAATCTTTAGAACTGCAAAGATTTGTGGGTGGATGTGCTTAAGCCACTGTGAAAATTTCACTGTCTGCTTTATAAATCATACTTAATGATACAGCACAAAATTAAGCTGTCAAAACTGAAGAAAGGGCAACCATAATTGTGACTTAATAGCTTGATTATGTTTACGCTATACTGCATGTTTACCAAATGACCTCAAAAATAACAATAAAAGATAAAATACTTCTTACTATACCAAGAAACAAATTGTTGAATTCCTTCAGTAAAAAGCAATGTGCAAAAGGAAGCAATTAACTTAAGCAATATACACATATTTCCTTTTTTTAGTTCCTTGTAAAATGACACTCTGTCACTTATTTTCAGAATCAAAACAATACAAAAATTGTACAGACAGAGCACAAATGCCTATAAACAAACCAAAAGATACCTACCCCTGGCATATGCTCCATAAAAATGGATAAAATTTTTTCATCTTGATGACAACCATAATATTGGACAATTCTTTCATGGTGCAAATTCTTAAGGAGTTGTATTTCACATTCCAATGCTCGTACTTCCTGAAAACAGAATGGAAAATGGTTTCTTTAAGATCTTGAAGAATAACTGGAAGGGGACTACTATGTGAGCTGGCAACATGGTTAAAGTTTAAGAGGAGAAAAAAGTCAGCACTCAAATAGGTTTTGAAACTGATAAACATATAAAAGTCCCTTTTTTTAATCACTTAAAATCTGCAAAATCTGAAAAGCTTCCTAATTTCATCATTGACATCTGCTTCTTAATTTCATCATTGAGGTCTCATTTAAAAAAAAATCAAAATTAATTAGACTTTCAAAAAAGTTTGAAGAAAACTTGGTCAGTTCTGCTACCCACGACTTACTTTAGACACCTCTACGGACATGCTGCCCAAGTTGACCTGCTTGACCGCCAGCTCTCTTCCTGTATCTGCATCATAACACAGGAAAACTTGACCAAAAGCACCAGCACCCAACAGCTTGCCCTTCTTCCAGTTTATTGGTGCTCTTGGTGCTGAAAGGACGAAAGTACACTTTCAATAAGCCACCTAAAACTGGGGTGGATCCAGAAATATTTTCTGACAGTCTTCCAAATTATCTTTGTTGATCCATTTTCCATTTTTGAATAACTTTCCATAGAAAAAAATTAGATGTCCATAAATGTTAACCTATAAAATGCTGGTCGTCTTCCGGAAGACCCAAAATATCTACACATTTCCTCAAAAGTAAGTGCACTACTTTAATAAATAAGGATCAAGATGTATCCCTTTCCTCAAAAGTAGGAGATAGATGTATACCTTTCCTCAAAAGTAGGAGAAAAACTGTACTTTATCATTCTTGACCAAAAAAACTTAGGAGCTTGTGCCCCGTCAAAAGGAAACTGAACTTTAAGCTTACATTTTGCACTGCTTAGTTCTGAGAGGCCATTGACAGCTAAATCATAGTCACTGCCACGTTTCCTCCGTCCTTCAGGCGAGTCATAGTCAGGCACCAGGCCACTGCTGCTACTGCTATTGCTATTAAGAGACATTTCACTGGGGATTGTTCCGATTGGATATCCTTCACCAAAAGCATTGTCAAAATCTCGACCTCGTGCTCGTGGGAATGTTTTACGACCTTTAAAAACACAGAAACACATTTTGTCAAAATATATCCATCTAGGACAAACCACTTCTTTTTATCTCTTTTAATAAATTAGTCAATGTTTTGCATATTAGTGTAATCAACAAATAAAAATTTTCAATATTCAAAATCCATACTCCTTATTATTTGCACATTTCTTTACAATGGATGAAAACTAAGATATAAATAAATACCTTCTTGAATTTCCATCTGCGTCCCCATAGCGTAACGCCTGGGGTATGTCCCACCTTTCTGGTTTTCACGCTCTCGAGATACCTGCTCTTCATACGTTGTATCAGAATATATGCTTCTGCGTGATACGCTCTTCCCTCGAAAAGGAAATGTGTCGCCAGTTTTACCACGGACGACAAATGGATCTCCACTGAAAAATGGTGAGATTAAATCATATGTTAAGAACAGATACAAAGGTACAGACTTAAATGCTGAAAGCTAATAGTTACAATAGTTACTAAACAGGTGAACAATTGCTGGGGAAAAAAAAACAACAACAAAACTTATTAAATTATGGCATTGAGCTTTGTAACTTATGGGTAGGGGTAATAGAGGTATTGAAAGTGATGCAAGCTAGATGTGCCAAATCCACAGTACCTCCAATTCATTCCTGGCAGCACAATAAGTCTGCACAATTTCAAATTATTTTGTGTAAAGAATCAAGTAGTGGTTACTGTGTTGTTTATCTTGTCCTCCCAACTAAAAAAAGCACTCTTGAGTTGTTGAGACTTTTCATAATAAAATAACTTCCATTGAGAATATATGTAATAGTTTTTTTTTTGCTGCTACGATACTCACTGACTACTTATGTAACTACTGTCCAGAGAAGTCCTGCTTCCTGATATGGATCCTTCTGTACTACTCACATCGTAATCAATTTGCTGAAATTAATATCATATAATATTATATAGTAATTTCAAAAATGATAATGATCAAAATAATAAAGATTACAGGCAATATGAAATATCTATTAATCTAGGTAGCTAATATAAGAAAAGAGTGAAATGTGCTTTCAGCAAACTACTGGCACTGAACACACCATTATATAAACTGGAGGAATGGAAAGTAAGGAGGGGTAAAGTGAGTGGAGGTCCTCCCAAAGCTAAAATATTTTCTCAGTGCGGCAATTTATTGTTATACCCATGCAAGAGTTTTAAAGCTTACATCTCTCTCTGGAATGAACTCCCCATCGCCTTCTACAGACGTCCTGGATGTGCTGTGCTTAAGGTGTTTGTCATGAGGCGGGAAAGACCCTGGTGGCGGAGAGTATCTTTCAGGCACTTGTTTAGGACTGGTCTCTTTAACAGGACCAGTGCTCTGGTTCTATGAAATATAAATATGCAAGTAAATGAAACAAAAGAAATCAGGTAATGTAACAAAGTGAATAGCAAAAATCTGTGTGTTACTGAAAAATAATGTGCATCCCTCTCTATATGCGTCTTACCCACACAAAAATGTCAGTATTGTCAGGTTTTTTCAATAAAAGATTCTATATGAAATTTTCAAATTACATCCACTTCATTTCACTGAATATATTATTCATATCTAGTGTATAAAATTGATAGCAGATAAAGAGGCTTTATATATGTTTTATATATAATTTTGAAATTTCACACTATTAAGTAAAAATTTCAAATAATGTTTATAAAAATATCCATATAGTCGAGCAGGCTTGACTCACCACTGGTTCAAAAAGCTGCCCCAGTCGCCCTGGCGGGACTTGAGTCTGGCCTTGACCCCCTGCACCCTCGTCCTTCCTTGTCAGGAACAACCGCAAACTCCGTGACCTTGTGTTACGATCTAGTAGCTGTATAGCTGATTCTAAATCGGACTGACAGTTCACTGCTACAATAATCTGAAAGCAAATTGGTGAATTTTACATCATTCATCTCTTCTGACACAGAAAATGATTGCTTAATTTTGATAGGCCTTATAATCCAAAAATTAAGAAAGTTTTTTGGGATTGTTTTAATCTATTGAACGTTTCAAATATTACTTTCAGTTTTTTATCATTTGTTAAGATATCTATTTCAAATCTCTTACAATCTAAGACTGCTGAAATTATGCGTTAGTTCTTCTCTCTCTCCCCTTTTTTTATCTTCTAGTAATTCAAATTTTTAAATGAAATATTGTTTGGTGGTTTTAATTCCATAAAAATCATAAAAGTAGAAAATTAAAATAGCAAAGAGACACTCAGACAGTCCCATTAAAAGTCCTATTTGAAAAGACTTCCAACTTTGTGCGAACAAAACATGGTGTTTACTCTATATGCTTGCAAACAGATCTTCCAATTTTAGTGAGATTTATATTTACATTTCTATTTTAACCCCACCCTGCTCTCAAATGTCAAGAGAAAAACATGTTTTAACAGGCATTCATATATTTGAGGTATGTTGAGAAATGCAGAGTAGAAAACAAACGCAGTTATATCATTTAAATTAAACTTGGATTTCAATTCAAAATAATCATTTTTTTGCAAATCTTATACTTCACTTCGTAATAAAAATAGAGAAAGAGACAATTTCTTTAGTAAATTGAAAAAAATGAACTAAATATGTCACTAAACATTTTTATTTCTTTTTAGTAAATCTCACCTCTCCATTTGTATAATGTAGGTTGAGATCTTCACCATAGTACTGTCTGACCTTTTGGTAAAGCTCTTCAAATTTCACTGGACGACTAACTTGAATCAATCTGAAACAAAAATATACAGCCTTCTTTATAGACCACACAAAGAACACAGTACTTAACACTTCTTATAGTCTCCAGCCCTACCACAGAGCACTACTTTGTTGGAGAGAAAATGGTAAACAGGAATAGGACGACATTTCTATGGGTATTACATCTTGATGAAAACACACCAAGTTTATGTTAGAGCTATAGGCACAACTACCCTTCATAGTAATCAAGTGTTGGGCATTTCTGATTTAACCTCTACCAATGTGTATTTAGATATTTAGATATGAATATAAAAGGAAACACAAGAAAACAATAGCTAGGTCAAATATTACACGATTTTTGTGAAAATACTGTATGTGTAAGCTTTTGATAAAATTGATTGAAAACTCGATCTGGTAAGATTTGTTCTTTATCCTGAAACACTGAATGAAATCAACCTAATCTTGGTGTTACTTAAAAGATCAAATAGAATCTTCCATTAAACAGGTTGAATATCCTTCAAATTTTGTAAAAATCGAGTTTTAAATTAAGCAATATTTCTATTAATATATAAACCAAGACAATTTTAGATAACCATTTACCTCTTTTCACCTGCGTACTCACACTTGACCTTTAGCTCACTCTGAAATGGAGAAATCCTTGTCATTAAAGTTCAAATTATTAAAAATGAAGCTACCTAAGCTCACATTTTCTGAAAATTCAAGCTAATAAAACAGAGCCTCAACCTCCACCCCTATCTGACAGCACATATCAAAGCTTGGCTCTCACATCTACTTTCCCATATCTTATATTTTTCTTAATTCCTCAAATAAGCCCCTATAATCCTTTGTTTTATATAACATTAATACAACATTACAACCCAAAGGGAAAGAAATTTATATTTCATTAATTTTTTTTTTTTTGTTAAATAATATAGGTTCAGCTCTCAAACGATCAATTGTTGAATTGATGAGAACAGTACCGACAAAACCAAAGCTGGTAACCCCTAATTTTATTTACAAAAACCAGAAAACTGTGAATTTTTCATATATTTTACATAACATAACAATCCTTAAAATAGAAACTTTATTTTTACATCAAACATGGTCTCCTTTTCCCAGATTGAAAAAGAAGAGAAGAAAAAATTAAAGCCTTACCAATGAGGTTGATGAGGAACTCTTCTTAGTTTTATGTCTGCCCGACTGGCTCATCCCCTTGGCCAGGCTTTGATATATGGTGTGGATGGGATCATCATCCACATCCTCCACCCTGCTGCGCTCCTCTGAAACAAAAAAAAAAAAAGTTACACATTTACGTCTTGCAGAAATATGTTTTGTTACACATCTTGTTGGTCCTCCTTTTTTTTTTTAAATAATAATATAATTCTTTATTAAGCAGTAAAATGTTTCATTTTACAGGCTCTCTACTATACTATTACTTTTATATCATAAAATACATAGATACAAAATACGTATGGCATTTTTTGTCTCTATCATATTAGGATGCGCAATAATAAACCAAAACTTTGAAACTGAACTACACCAAGCTGAGCTCCTCAGGAGCTGTATTTTATTTCTTCCTTTCAGCTCTTCACAATGTGTGATTCTAATTTTGTCAACAACAGACATTCTGAGTCAGCCAGGCGGAAGGTCTGTAGCGTTGCCTATTCTTTTTGGTTCTTCAGATCTCCTATTATACAACCTCTTTCAATAGAACTTTTGCACTTCTGTCAGAATTTTCAGACCTTTTATACATACTTGGCAATGGAACCGGTACTTCTCTTTAAAATTCTTTTTAAAAATATTTTTCTGTCTACTGTTTTAATTTCTGAATGGCAATAAAATATCAAATGTGACATTACATAATGACTGCCAAGTTAAACACTTGGAATTAACATTAGAGAGGAAGGGGGGGGGGGGGAGAGGAGGCTGTATTATATAACAGAATGACCTCACACCTTGCACCCTACACCTGAATAAGAAAGCCCTACATACCAGTTTATTGTCACTCAAGAGCATTCTCCCAACATGTAATCCTAGCAGCCCTAGAAGTGTGTTTATTCACATCCCTTTCTGCTTCTAATTTCACCTAGTTCTAATCCAATATATGAATTTGGAGAAAATAGTGACTCATCCAGGCAAACCGAATTTGTTCACGACCTTGGTTTAGTAAACAGATCATCATCATCGTTTTTTTTTAGATCCAGCTCACCCAATTCCTAAATGTTTACCCTCTAAGCTCAGCATTGGTGTATATCAATTTGAAAGATCACTCATGTAAAAAACATGTTGATTTTTTCCTTTTTTTTTTTCATTTCACCTTTTTTTTCTGAGAAAAAAAGGCTTGCATCCCATTTAGCCATCTTAAAAGTTTTAATTGCCTGTTTTCTTCCTCATTCTTGAAAAGAGGGGGAAAGGTAAATCTAGGCCATTTCCATTCCAGACCATCATGAAACCAGAGCTCTACAAACCCAGGCTAGAGTGTCTAAAACTTACAGCTCCCAACAGGTGTATTTATATTGCACAGATACTACAAATACTATACTACTTCAGCTAATAGTATGTAGGCTCTTCATTTGCTGTGTACCTATGAGTTTAAACTTAGTACATAGAGACTCACATTTCAACAAAAAATTGCATTGCATTGCACTGCACTGCACTGCATTACATAACATTACATTATATTAATAACTTCAACTATAAGAACATTCGCATTCATTCGTGACTGATTTAAAAATTCACATTTCAGTCCTCTTAATTTACAGAAACCATATCATTGATAGTTGAGACCATGCTTTGGATTTAAGATTTACACACCCAAAGTAAGTCAAACATAACTTTTTCATAATTTAGAGATTATAATCCGGTGGATTAAGTTCAGCTGGGAGGAATGAGAGATTGAGAGGGTGATAAGCAACGACAGGTATTTTTTTAAAACTGGAACATTTTTACAGAGAACCAGAATATTCAGTTTGGTGCATGTGTATTAATAAGAAGTTATTACAGGACTAGTAAAGGAGACAAAAAGGGTAATCTGGAGACATGATGTTAATTCTTGAGGATTGGGACGAGAGCTCTTAAATCTGCTGACTCTCCATTTATCTGGGAGACATGACAAGTCTGCTTATCCCAGTAGTGCACAACTTCAAAGATACTTGATCTCTGTGACTGGTATTTACATTCTCTTCAGAAGTTGGGAAGTAAATAGTCTCAATTCAGATGTGCTTAATGTAATGAACAATTCAAAAGAAGTCAATAACAGTACTTTGTGCTTGACAAAGTACGATACCAAATTTTTGAAAGCTGCGTTTCACCTGATGATTTTTCTTCAGGCATATGAGCAGACACCTTTACTATGTTGAATATATAAGACACCTTCAAAACTTCATGTTATCTGGCCCTGTCAATCTACTAACCAACACATTCATTGCCGAACAACATCTGAGTCCTCCTTTATGTCATAAATTCACTGATAACTATAATGACCTCCGCTTTATGAATACCTGACCATTTTTCTCTACAGGCATAAACATTCCCCGCCTGAAAGTCTCTCTGCTTTGTAGGTTTTTGCCCCAATTAGTATTTTGTGTCCAAGTCCAATTATTCATATTGTGTGAGCTCTCTTGTGAGTCTCTGTGTGATTGGTACCGTCCAACCTTGGCACTGTCTTAACACGGTGACAAGCAAGGGTGGCAATTATTTTCTCGTCCACACTAGATTCTCTCAGTCTCACTATCCACTGGGCTCTAGCCCGATGACTTTTAAGTCACAGTATATTTCAATGATATACAGGAACAAATTCTACTAAACATATTAACAGATACATATTTTTGATTGAAGAGTTTCAAAAATTCCACTTTTTAGATTTCTTTTAAAAAGGTTGTATAAATATATTAAAATAAAATCTGAAAATGATGGGTTGGGGATAAAATACACTCAGGGAGGTACAACAATCATTATTTTTGTAAAACAAGCCAAACATTTTTTTTACAGCAGTGTATCATAAGTGCATCTGATTTGCCTTTGGAAAAAAGGATTCTGAAACTTTCAGTCTCAAAGTTAAGACAAACTCTGGACACAACCTGTGTCCATGATGAAACCAGTTCCAGGGTTAGCTGGTTATATAAGTAGGAGGGCAGTAGCACCCTGACCAAACACAGTGCCCTGTTCAAGCAGTGCACACTATGTCACTGTGCAACCAAAACCTCTCTTTATTTGTTCTACATGGCTTAGACGTTTGGGGTTGGAAGGGGTTGGGGTTCAATTATTATAATATTTACTCTTTTAACAGGAAATCCATAGGATATTGGAGGCTACCCAACTTTTATAAGTGCATTGGAATTGATACAAAAACTAATGGCAATTTCTATATTATTTTTCACTAACTGACAAATACTTCTGCATTGTTAGTATATATAGATTATCAATCAGATTGATAATCACAGGGAAATGCACTGTTGAATGCACTGATATGAAGACATTCCAAAAGTTATAACATTGTTCTAATCTCCAGCAGTTATCAAATTGGATTAAATAAATAAATAAATAAATAAATAAATTTAAAAAATAAATATCAACAGAGGGCAGCAGTGGTGCAGAGACAGGGGGAACCTATGTGATCTTGTGTATATCTATCTGTCATGTCATCTCCATCAAGATTGCCCATAGCTGGTGGACAAGTGCCTGTGATGGGCGACAGTCAATTGGTCAGACCGTCCACACTGGTTATCTACATCCACTTAATAAACGGGTTGACTCCAGTTGTGGCCACGTCCAGGGTGTTTTGCCTGATGGAGAGCATTGTCACCACCATGTATTATTCATGCCTAGATAATCTGGCCAGATTACTGCTGGTGAACATGTTATCTGATCATCGCCAAAGCAAAAAGGTTCTATCCTAGAAACTGTGTGCTATTGCAGTGACAACATAATGAGTTAATATCAATACTTAAATACCTTTCACATCTTCAGCACCATTGTCCTCATGTGTAAGTTTTAAAAGATTACTGTAGATATCACTGAATTTGATTAATATGCTCTCTTAGTATCACCAGGCCAGAAAAAAAAAGAAAGATCGGAATCTTAAATATGTCATCAGCATAACTATTTAAGTTGTATACACCACAAATCTTTTTTTACAAGAGCTATCATTAAGTAGGCAGCAAAAGCTGGTGAATGTACAGACAATACGAAGAACAAACCGGAGAAAACCAAATGCACAGAAAAGGGTACCTACATCAAGATTAAATTGATAACAAACATGATCATTTCTGGAGTTTGAATTCTGTGTTTTAATTTTCCATATTCTGAACCTAAAGTCAGGCTGTATCAAGTGTGACTATATCGTTGCATATGCCTAATTTTCAACTCTCCTGTTTATAGGTTCAATGGAACCATGCAGAAATTTGTTTGTTTTTTTCAGTGAGACACAGTACAAACATGCATACAAGGATATAAACTGAGTAATAAAATATTGCCTCAGTGGTTTTATTTGAATGTAAATTTATACAAAATCTTTGGTGCTTATATACCAACAACTTTCTAATGAATCCTGTGATGAAAAGCACTAAATTAAATATGAATGCGGTGCTTAAAAAGTATAACTTTGAAAAAATATTTTAAGGATCATCACACATCAGCACTGACCTTCATCTAGGGACAACACTAAAATAACACTCATTTAAAACCACTTGACATTTCCCTTGCCCATCTATAAGAAACCATAAAAGTTTTAGCACTGCAGATATATTTGACTTCTTTCTTCTACCAAAGTGAAAGTGCCTTATCATCAACAGTACCTTAAGTAAATAATAGAATTAGACAGGTTTCCTGCTTGTGTAACAATCCTGGTTCTTTTTTCAAATGTTTACAGTGTCGAGGGACCCAAAGGACCATTTAAGCCATTTACTTACCTGCAGATGCCATGACAACCAATCACATGCTGTCCCTATCAGATTGCTATCTGCCAGAAGAGCAACGTACAGGAAATCTGAATGCAAACAGCCCTCTTCTTCTTTAGCTTACATTGGGCCTGAAATTATAAAATGGATGAAAAATAAACATAATTTGAAAATAATTTGACTCACTAAAGAAATGCATTGGTACGAGTGTTATTGTCCTTACCTTACATGTAAAAAGCAAAGTTTTAAAATTTACAATATAGCAAAATATGCACTGTCTGGATCTCTATCCTGCTTATCTTGTATGTTTTCAACTGTATGTGGTCTCTTACTACCACCACCACTTAAGTTTGAATGTCACTTCACCCTTGCCTTAGGAGGTAGGGGGACAAAGCAACAAGTTTTCTTCCTTCTCACCCCTGAGATAATTGAGTGATTTGGCTCTTATGTTTGATTCAGTTACTTAACTGGGGTATCAGAGAGAGGGAGATGACATATTGGGGAGGAGGTGGGTGTGTCACCCAGCATTTACTTCCTGATGTGAAAATAAGTTGCTGTCTTAAACTATTCTTTCCAAACGGACCTTCACACAGTAAGAGGAAGCCGCATAAATTTGTCCACAGCTGGTACCAGTTTCACAGCAGTTACTCACAAATTGGTTCAAGTCATGAATTTTTTATATGGCCACAGAAATTGTTTGTCTCCCATCGGTTTAACAGCCTTGATTTGATAATGATGTTTTCATGATTCAGCAAACAAACAGTAATTAAACTACTAGACGGAGATGTGAATCAGCACTGGTTGGTTGGGAGGTGAATGACACAATTTTGCACCACAAAAACAACACCGGATACTCCAGTTTCAGTCACTTATGAGACATGAAGTACCCACTGTAGGTGCACCAAACCCCTGATCAATGACCTACTTCCTAAAATCAATGACTGAAGTCTTATAAGCTTTGATGTCTCCACACTACAAAGGTGCAAATGTTTGGTTTACCTAAGAATAATAAATATACCAAAGTTTTCACAACACTCCCCCTTTAAGGCCAACAATGCACTGTCAAATGACGGAATTGTCCACGGTCACTTTATGCTGTCATAAAAGACCAGCTTAATCAATGGTAACTTTTGTGCTTCATAACCTATCTCACATTTAATCTAATTACTATATGCCTCCAACAATAACTGAGGGTAATTTTTCTCATTAATTTCACAGTGACAAAATAAGACTGTGCACCTCTGGTCCAGCTAGAGGTCTCCTATGGTACTGAGAGAACACTGTATGGTCCAGGATATACTGGGCACTGGTCAAAAATTTTGCTCTTATTTCAGGAGTCCAAGTACAGGCGCATTCAAATGTGGAAAAAAAAAAGTGGAATATGACACAAAATCTGCAGTTCCTTACACAACTACTACTACATTTCCTCATACTACTAATACATTTCAGTCACATAAAGATGCAAGCCAACAAATTTAAAAATAAAGTGAAAATATATGAGACTTCAGTCTCTCAAAGACTCCTTACACTATAACCTTTTCACCTTTTAAATAAGATGTGAAGCTGAAAAAATCAGTCTAAATCTTGACAACTATTAATCTTAGAGCCCAAGAGCACAACCCATATGCCTAGACACTGAATTTTTACCACATGGTGACAATAATCGTACAGAATCTATTAATTAACAAAAGGAAAATCTGTTCTTTAATCAATCAAAACATATAAATCTTTAAAAACACCTTACTGGGGCTACAAAGACAATTACCCGTCTTTCGTAGACAATAGCTTTTTAAGTATCTGAAAACTGAATAAAAATCTGGGGGTCAAGTTGGGATCACAGCTCCAGCCGATACAATATGGTAAGATCCTCCAAAACGTTTAAATCTATTTCAAATATGACAGTTCTTCAAATGTTTGGTTCAAGTGAGTTGAACTCTTGGTTGACTTTTCCTTTAATTTGCCACAGTTTTTTTCAGTACCTGGTGGATGCCATCTTTAAAACGAAACCAGGTCACTCGGTACAGAATGGAAGCAGGCTCTGGGTCCGACATCATGTCCCATAACATAGCCCTCTATGCTTACCACAACACACTTCATTTTCCAGGTCTTATGATACTGAATAGATCTTTGTCATTAGAAATGCCGAATGGGGGGCCCAGATCTACAATTCATGGCTCCGACTGTGGCACTGACAAAGAATGGCTATGAGGATATAGTTGAGCACAGGGAACCAGTAGGGTGAATGTTTATAATGGATGCTAAATGGATATGTCAAGCTTGCCCTTATTCTGCTAGGAGCCATAAGCTACAGAAGGCAACAAGTAACAATAAGGGCCAAGTTTACTTTGATGGGTTAAGTCTTTTAGCTAAATATGTTTTTCCCCTTGGTTTTAAAACAAGGGTTCTTTTTCTTACTCACGTTTTTTTCCAAAACACTTATTAAAGTCTGGAATTTTTGCACAATTTTTGGTTTGCAATCTTAAGTGTCCTGCTAGTCTTGAAAACTCATTATTTGATATCTGAAGATGCAAAAGCTTGGATGATAGCACCGTTTGCAAAAAAGGATGTTGTGCATAGAAGAGCTAAAAGTTATATTTAAAAGACAATGACCTCTGATGAGCAAGAGTACATGCAAAATGGGTTTGGAGTATGTGAGCTTAATGAAAATGGACCCTGCATAAAAATGCTGTCGTTATGACCAGACGTCTGGTTCATCACAAACATGAGTGGTATCCATCCTGAGAGTCTATCATTTCACTACAATGGTCTTAACTTCAAAATAGTACGTAATCTTCAAAACAGGTCCCAATACTTATGTCTCCATTTTATAAGCCTCAAGGAGTATGCTACTTACTTCAATTTACACAACTCCTAATCAATTTTGCATAAAAAGCACAAACTGGTTTGTCTTCTTTTTTATAGGACATTGTTAATCATTTAAAAACTTGTACAAACAGCAAAATAAAAGCAAATAAACCAAAACCGTTCAGTGAATGGGGGAGCTCTTGCATTACGTACTTCACAGGTGCATCTATATTTTCCTTTATCACAAAGTGGTGTTCAATACCATTTCCGAATTCCATTATTCTTAATCTGGACCAGACATGCATGTGAACAATAATGCACCAGAGATTCAACCATAACTCAAACTTTTATTTTATTTACATAATAAGTTCTCTTATTTCATGCTATTTTCAGGTTTTGTACTGAGCAAATACGGTTCACATGCAAAAAAATACCAAGGAACTAAATCCGAGTCTGATTTAATCAGTATTCCAAGAAGTTGTACTGGAACATCTGAATGCAAAGCCAGTGTTATATGGACATATTTTCCTTCTCAACTCTTCTGTTCAACTGCAGGATGAAAAATGTTTGGGATGAGAAGTAACAGACACAGTCATGTGTCTGAAAAATACCTGGACCTCTTCCTTTTTCTGGCAGAACCATTCAGGAATTAATAAACTGTTTACTACTGAGACTGCACCTGGTCCTGACAGCTGGGGGAATCCGACACTTTCACTGACTCAATATATACTTATACAACATACTTACCAATTAAAAATGGGGCACATTTCACATTTTCTCCTGGTTATTAAAAAATAGATCCCTGGAGAAAAACTTATATGCCGCAAAAAAGAACATATTTTCAATCAATGTCAGATCTACTGTGCTATTTCTACAGTGTGCGGGGCCTGTGCTGGAATGCACTCTTTATTAGTCTTAGTTGGGTCTTCACGCAAGATCAAACTCCATGAAAGCCTAGCAGAGCCAGCACTTCAAAGAATCACCTAAATAAATCATCTGGCCTTCTAAAGGGGAGAATAATATTGTTGCATTTTTCTCGCTCTTGCTGCATGCTATTTAGTACTGATACTGATCTGTTGTAGCCTGCACCTATATGCCGTAACCACAATAAAAAGAGACTCCACATTATGCTCCATCCATGCGATGAATTCCGCTTCTTTTCTATGGGAATATTGTACTGATATCTTAATAAACTTAAAAGGTTCGTGATGAATTAATAAAAATGCTTTTCCCTGTGGGAAAATTATTAAGAGTTACTAATGAACTGGATGTCATTTATCTTTATCACAATTTTTATGTGAATTTTTTATAACTTTTGAATATGCTTACATTTCGGAATTGTATACCTATTCAAATTATATATCAAATATTTACAGCTTATAGCATAGAAAGAAAGCAGAAAATATCGTAAATGAGCAAAAACATTCATTAGCTTGGTAGTTGGGTCATAAATGAAAATTATCAAGTTGAAACACAAGCCGAAAGTATACTTACAAGCAGAAAATATCGGTTTGATAACACTTTTTCCAAGAAAATTGAAACAATGATCTTGGGTATTTCTCCACGTTATACTATTGAAACTTAATGGTGGAATTTAGTCAGGTTTTGTGCAAAAAAATTTGACTTTAAATGCATTTTAAGAGTGTCTGAGAAACATCACATGTATATGAATAACAAGGCCTTCATCTGCTGTCCTTATGATGGCACTTTGCCTTTCTCTACATATGCACTAGTTCACATTAACCCATCAATCACTTATTACATTTTTTGAGCTAGACTCATTACTTTCTGGCCAGACTCCTGAAAAGGACGCCTCTACAATATTCTATTTAGGTGAAGTCTCTCCAGGAAAAACCAATTTAAAGATTGGTGCCAGTTATACCCAACTCTGAAAAGATTTCTTTTCTTTTCAAATATTTCGTTTTCCTTTATCACAAAGTGGTGTTTAATACCATTTCCGAATTCCACTTACTGAAGACACAAAATTTTACAGAGGGTCTTGCAGTTGCAGACAGTAATAAAGCCATAGACATATGGTACTAGCTGTTCTATCTTTGAAATTGTACCAATTTACCCGAAAAACAGTCAGCTTTATAAATTGCAATTTAAATACCATTTAGATCTATGCATTAGACAATCACATAACTGTTGAATGTGGTGGTTACACATTGCCATAGTGGCATGCTTTACCAAGTGACCTTGAAAAAAAAAGGTCAAGGGTCACAATCAAGGTCATTCCATGTGAAATCTTCAATTGTCACTTATGCAACTTTTGTAGGAAAATGGGAGTCAGTTTCTATGGGAATGAAGATAATCAAACCTTAAACCTGATGAAAACCAAGTATTCTAGTTGTCATATTTCAGATATATATATCCCATTTACTTGTTAATTGGAGACAAAAAGGAAAATTGTTGCAAACTTCACTCACTTCAAGTGCCCAATCAAATGCAACAATTGTCAATCTTATTTCTCTCATGGTCTCAAACTTTCTTGGAGATTTTGGTTCAGACCTATAAACATGCACCAACTGACCCCAACATCAGTTAGGTTTGCTGGTTAAATTCAACTTGGCTTCATAATTTGGATGCTAGGCGCTCTGCAGTTTCTAAGAATAAAGGGTACCTAACAAGATGCAGTGCGGAAATGCCCAAGGAGAAGTCACAGACACTTGAAGCACCAACAGTTCTAAAATAGTGGAAATATACTTTACAGAGCACTAGTTTATTTTTCTTAAAAATATCCAAACCTGAAACTTACTTTAAATTTTAATAGTTTAAATCAACTTCTTTATGTGCTTATACATTTACAGTTGAAACAACAACTGAAAAACTAAAATTCTGTGCATCCACACGTTTCACCATATTAGTCCAATTTGAATGTGTTCATGCAACAGCTAAATCAAATATGTCTTCTGTCACAGGTGTTCAGTGCATGATAGCTAGATAAAGCTCCCTCACACATTATTCTATTACATTCAATCTCTCAGCTGACACTGCAGGCACATCAATTCAGATCTGCCTGAAATAACTGCTGTCACCCTGAGCTGATACGCACTACCAAAGGTCACTCTCTCTCCGTCCTTTAAGCTGACCACTATCTACTTAATGACCTACCGTTCCTGACCATAGGGATGACTAAACTGTAATAAGTTCACTTTTTTCCTGATTCTTTCATCAATTTGATTGTTAGCGTGATAAAAGCACCTGGTTATCTTTCCGTATCACAAGCACTTTAGTTTTATTCTTTAGCTAGCTTGCTGTTTTACAAAGGACCTCAAGTTGAACATCAACTTTAACTATAACTGTTGAATATATCTGTCTAAATTACAATTTACATATATTCCAGCAGTAATGTTGTAATACAAATGCTGAAAATTGCAATACAGGGACAAGTTTTGAAGAAAATTAATTGATTGGGGCCATTTTTAAAAATTTCTCAGTATTTATTGTAGGCAGTAACGTAACTGCCTAGAAAGTTGTAACTCCTTACTTTAAAAACTTTAAAACAAAGGAGGAATACCACTATTACAATTTTTTGCTACTGGTTTTGACACTTCTCACGCGCACAAAAAAATGAATGTTGTGAAAAGACACATTTTTATATGCCTCCTTACCTTTCTTACATAGTCAATCAACGTTTTCAAGTAGGAGAGCAACAGGAAAGTCAGATTTGGTAGCTGAATACCAAGCCTGCATTATGGTCGTGGCCACATTGCTACCATGCTTTTAAAATCCTACACTGTCAACTTGGTGCTGCATACTGCTAGAGAAGGCTGCTGCAAAAATTGGAGCAAGCAGAGATGGTGGCAGCAAGTTCCCGTACAAAAATCTCCTTTGCACCTGTACTGTACTCCTACATGGCCTCCATTCTCAGTCCTAAGTACACAGTTTATGAAACCACTAACCAAGATCAATCTCAAGTTATCAGCACCTTGCCATGGTTCATGCAATCCCAGTCATTTTAATAAGCATTACCAGACCTAGACGTGTTGACAAGTGCTGCCCTCTTGCAGCAAATATCTAAACTGGGTAAGCTGTCATTTCCACAACCAAACATATGGAACCCAGAGAAACCGGGTCACTCAAGGCTGCAATTAACAGCTGATAAATGAGGGAGGGGGCAAGTTTAAATGCTACATAGAAACTGAATGAAATCTCATCAGAACATTTTCAATGAGTCATATACTAGTAAATAATTAGTTTTTTAAAAGTCCTACTGTTCAGTGTGCGAATCGTGTTACATATTTCAGCACAAATGGAATTCTTCAAAGAACAGAACAAGAAACTGCTACTGTGGTTAAAAGAGCAATTCAAAGCAATTTTCTATTCATTTTACAAGTAACTTGACCACATAATAATTTTAGTGTATAAAAAAGGTTGAAGTTCACAATGTTCAATTCTTTTTTCATTTTCTTTCAGTTTACGACCTGGTTCACATGCATTATATTTTGAAATAAATTAAGTATTAAACCTTAAACACTCTTCTTTTAACCAAATAGTTTAGATCCATGTTTACTCAAATATACAGACTAGATTCCTCAAAAATAAATAAATAAATAAATGCTATTGCCTTGTTAACACATGTCAATAGCTTTTGCAAAAACTTAATAGTTAATTTGTAATTTGTGCCCCCCCCCCCCCCCCTCAATTATTGTGGCCATATTTGTGTTGATACAACCCATTTTAATAGTATGTCAGTGTCCTCCCTGAAGACAACACAGTAAAAATAACTTTCTAGTTGTTTATGCCTATGGGATATCATAGTATAGTTGTGAACATAATCACCTTACTGCTTCTATCTCTTGGGCATGACATAATGATAAAGAACTCCAGCACTTAATTCATTGTATTTGTATTAGATAGAGAACACCTGGTAACGAACAAAAAAGATGTTTACATCCATCTTAATGATGCTACAAAATAACTTCGCTTGTTCAACTACTTTTGTAAAAACAAGGTAAATTTTCATTTACAAATGCATTCCACCAACTCTCCAACCAACTAATTATGTGTGCCTTCATGCTATCCATGGAACAGACTTCAAGTCCGCCATAATTCATCTTTCATTATGCAATACACAAGCACTTCAATTTCTAACAATGTAAAGGTGACTCAAATTCTGGATATGGACAGTTAGGGGAGAAAAAAAACCCCTTCTACTACCTGAGCATGGTACGTATTGTGTAAGGAGTGCAGTGTGCCCCCAAGCGAGCTGTCAGTTTTCATGAATGGTTTCCGTCTGACCCTTGTTTTTCACTACATATTCTGGCCAGAACTGTTTGGATGCTGATGATTTGTTGGGTGTTGGTAATGATGGGCAGCAGCCTGCACTGGCTATAAAACCTACCAGACAAAATTTCTCTCTTTTTTCTTTTTTAAATCATTTCTGAAAAAAAAAAATACCAACACTAACAAGATTTTTTTAAATCTTAGTCTAAGCATGTTAAATTTTTCTCCGTGACTTAGAAAATATCATCAAACTGCAGCCATAAAAAGTGACAATATTTAATTAATTTTTTTGTCAAAATGATCTCAGTAAACTAGGCCTAATTCTATCACACCCACCAAGTCATACAACATTCAATTCACTAATGACACCAAATTGCTAACAATATTTCAATGTATGATCACAACCCACCACCACCACCAATATTAAACTACTAGTAGTATATCAGAGAGGTGGAGGCCCCTCCTGAGCATGTACCAACAGCTAGATTTGGGCTTGATATTGGAGCAATATTACATAACAAGTATTATTAGATGTTAAATTTTCTGAATGAGAAGCAGACTTTAGAGGGCAAATTTATTTAAATTGTGAAAGAATCGCAGGTTATCATTACATGCACACTGACAAAAACAGATGTGAAAAAGAAAAATATAAAGTTATGAAAAAAATCATAAAAGGGATAGCTCTAAACTGTTGAAATCTGTTAATGAAAAAATATCAACTAACCCTTCATCATATATAGGTGTATACAAAGTTTTCACACAAGCAGTTCTTGCATTTAGAAGTGTTCAAATACCACTTTTATACAAGAGGTGTCCAAATAGCAAAATTATACAAATAAAATTTATCATATAAAGGTTCTAGTAACTATAACAGAAATACTTCCTTATCACATGGTGAACAACATAATGCTATGCAAAAAGGTCCTACTAAAATAAACCTACTTCTGAAAATGCAGTGTCTACAAAGCCCTTATACTAAGGAGCAAAGTGACTCCTGCAGCTGCAGCAACACAGGCATACTGAAAGACATCGGTTGAGATTCTATTTGCAATACCCAGTGTAATACATCCCAACAACCTGCCTCCTCTTTACTTACCTGGCATAAACTATGAACAATCAAATGGAGAAACATCACTTAATCCAATTTCAAAGTCACCAAACTAATCGAATACTTCACAAAAACTTCGATCAAATTGAAACACAAATATCCACTGGCAGACATTTTACTAGCTATATACAGTATGAACAGATAAATAGCCCCAACTAGCACATTGTATGCCTTGCAAGCAGCAATCTGCGTGTCCACAGTGACAGGATACACTTTATCACTGCCAGCCAGCAGCCTCCTCACTACATTCGCTCTGTTTTGTCATTAGGAAAGGAGCAATTTATTTTCAAGAAATATTGCCATCCGGCCTTTGGATGTATTGGATGAATGGATGCCTCCTCCATTACTCCAGGGTTATGTTTGGGTAATCTAGAACAATGACACCATTTAGATTTGCTGTATTGTGATGAAAAAGGTCTACTTTTTTGGAGTCGTAAAAATGTCACCATTTTATGAAGCTCATCGGTATATAAACAATGTGACAGTTATTCGTCAAATGGTGTGCTGCGGGGAAACGTTTAAAATATCTGTCAGCTTCAGTACCCAGATGGCATGAGTTTATCCTGACGTTGCCTGATATGGTATGAAATATGGACTACCTGTTTCAATGAGAATGAACTGTACTACTTCAGTAGATAGGTACAAGTATCATGTATTTTGCCATATAAGGAAAAATTAGCTGCGTCTCTGCGCACGTTGTCACAAAACCCACACTGCATTTCATCTATAAGCCACCTGCACCTTTCAGATGGACTGTGCATGTGCATGCATGCAAGTTTATAAGGAATTAAATGATCGTTGTATAAAACACCCACATCTATCCCACGTGAAGAACTGCATTATTCACATTCCATTTACCTTACAGTAGACTTCTAACTATTTATATAAGAACAAAATGAAATATCCCTGTTTCTCAGCAGCAGAGCTGTCTTATCAGTGCAGTATCAAAGCAGAAGGGCTACTGTCTCATTGGCAGGACAGAATAATATTTTTCTTTGGCCAGTGAACTTTGATTTAATAAAAAAAATCTCTAACTGATGTTTACTGAAAGGAATAATGTCATATAAATGAAAGTTAAATACAAGAGCTTTTTTAAAAAAAAATTTTTTTTGAAGACTTAAAAAATCAATTTTGTAAAAATGGAAGTTGCCAGCTACAAATATGTGAGGATGTCTTGAAATACAAATAATGTCTCACCTGAAAAACACGTGAAAATAAGAATCATCGAAAAGGTCTCCTTACTTATTTTATATGCCCTTCCCAGAAGACCTATTTCTTTTTTCTTAAATTATTCTCTATTAAGAAAACTCATAAACTAAAAGAAATTCTCTTCCCATATCAATAAAATTCACTCCAGATCTGCCCAGTTCAAAACGAAAGGCTCATTAAAGAAAAAAAAAAAACTTTACAATTGGATCTTAAAATGGGCCCTAAAACTAGGCCAGTATACTGACTAACCTAACACATAACCAAGATCAGGGATCAACTTCAATTGGCAAAATATCAGAATATTTGGAAACAAAAAGCTCTCTATCAACTTCTGTCCGATGATTGATGATTTCTGACATGGACACAGAGACAGATGCAGATGTGGAAATGGTCTTGGACTAGTCCAGCTCTCTGATGGTATAATTAAGAGAATAAGGGCATGTTGAAAAAAAGAAAGAGAAAAAAAACATAATTTCCATGATTAAGTGATGAAGTAGTCCATATCAGATAAGGAAAGGTAAGAGGGTGAGCCCCATCTATCATTACTGGATTCTTTACTTAGAGTGTATATGCTTCAAGACTGCTAGCTAGTGTAATAAAACTGCTAAGCACCATAATAACAGGCTCTACCATAGAACAACACTAATGGCAAACCTAGTCTCCACTCGGATTACAATTATATATACCAAAAGTGTTTTCTTTTTTTTTTTAATTTAAGTCTCCTATTATCTTTCAAGTCTCCTTCCTCCAGAAACCGGACTCTCGTCTTCACCTCCCACTACTGGGCTGGTTTTATTGAGTGAACCTGAATTGGTGGTTAATGAATTTGATAACAGCATACTTAGTGTGTGTAGCTCTTCACTGTGCCACGGCAATGTTGACACTGCGTGGGAAGTATTGTAGACACAACTTTTTCATTGCATATTTTAATGTCTCTTGCCAGGATGGGTGTTAGGCTGTAAACTGTCACAAAAGTGGGTTAAGGGTCTCAGACAACTACTGTTAAGTGCTGACCAAGTCCAACAGGGGCCACTATTCTAAATGACCACTATTTAGCATGACTATTTAACAGTGTTTACACAACCAAAGTACCTGTATCAAGACTAAATAAGTAATAAACTTTGTCAGCCTCAACACTCTATTAAACAGTGGGATAAAGTCTTAAAAAACAGAAAAAATACACAAAATTAGCTAATGGACATATTAACACACAAAAAATAGGATGGAATCTGTGTGGAAACAGTCAATTCTTTACACATGTTATGACAGGCAAGGTAAAACTATGTCACATGAATTTTCATAGGTTAAGGTTTACAGTGTTTTATTGATATGTCACACAAAAATGCACATAGTGACATAGGCAGCTTGTCACCAACACAGAACGTGTTCAGCTTCATTAAGTTAATACCTGCTTTCATACTATATGTATTTATGAGAGAAAGAGAGAGAGAGAAAGAGAGAGAGAGAAATTGCCTAGAGAGGTTTCTCACTGATACTGAAATACATTCCCAATAAATAAGACTGCTACAGGGTTATCCAGGATTGTTTATAAGTAGTTAGTAGCAATCTTCAGCCATGTAATTTGGCAATTAATTAAATTTAACCCAGTTAACGTGAGACAAAATTATCTGCTAAGGTCATCTTCAGACCACACACACATACCCATGCCTGCACACGCATGCAAAAACGCAGACGCCCTATGCCTCACATCTGAAGCAAAAGAATAAAAATGCTCATCATCCACTTAATAACAGGAGAAGAATAGTCACACAGAAACATTTTAAAAATCATTGGGAAAATAGTTTTAAATAACCATTAAAATGCCAAACATTTTTAACTTAAAAATACATAAGTTAAAATTTTATTCATAATCCAGTATTTAGGTTTTGAAATATTTCTGAACAACTGCATCTTTCTTCTTATTTAAATATGACCTAGGTGACAAAACATAAAACTTGGTTATTTGTCAACCACTACATATTTACATCTAAAGAATATCCAATGCAAAAAACAAACACAGGGCCAACGTTTATCTGTCAAGCATGCAAGCAACAGATTGCTATATCTTTGTTGTCAATGTCACGTCAAGATAGCAAGTTCCAGAGAAGGGGGTGGATCCTCATGCTTTTGTTGGTGTATACCCTCTTGTTGGATTCTACCCACTTGTGATAGGATCCTTTTTTATTTTTTATTTTTTTGTTTTATTTCATTTTTTTTTGCTACCTCTCACTTTTCAGTGTACAGAGTACAGAAAAACTTCAGGCTACCACACACACAAGCTTGCTGCTTACAGACAAGTTATGTGACACTTTCCTTGAGGAGGAAGCTTTCCAATGCTGTGCAATTCACGAGCAATTTTTGCCTTTATTGTTGTGTTTGATATTTTACCCATGGGTTGAGAAAACTTCCTTGTGTATGCTGGAAGAAAGCTTGGTGCTAAGGGTTATTTATTTATAGTGTATGTCCACGGCCAACACCGCATTACAACTTCCAATATGTTTGCACCCAGTGAACACAAACCTTTTGTTTTTGTATCTTTCACCTAACAGTAATTTCATCACACCAGTATAGATTAATTAAACTATTCAAAGATTGATAACTTGACAGAAACTGTCAATGGTCTTATATCCATGCATTTTTCTCACACAGTTTTCTATGTTATTTGTTTGACATTTCACGTGTTTCAAATCAAATTTCATTTGAAACTGGTAGGGATATTGAAGATCATTCTAGATGGACACTACATGAAAACTTATTACCTAGTTTGATAAAGGTAACATATCCAACACACCCATACTGCAATTCAAGATCTCATGCTCCTTGGGCCTGCTACTGAAACCATTGGGCCATCATAACGATTTTTGTTTCATACCATTCTTGTGTAAGCTTGGAGGGGCATTGCACATTTTCAATATGCCTGTATAAATTAATTGATTGTTTTATTTTCCAATTGGACCTTATAAAATAATAATATAAAATCCACACAGGGCTTAAAATTTAGGGTGGCCCACTGGCCCTGGGCCACTGAAAACCAACGTAGGGCCATTGAATCAATGGGGTTACTGGCCCAAAGAGCAATAAAATGTCATGTGTCAAATCATCCTTGCAATATTTACCGACATCTCTGGGTGGAACCAAAAGTATCGAAAAAAGTTAGTGTTAAGCCCTGACATATTAAATTTTTTATGACTTACTAATGTGCATTTATCATGGAGTTTATAATTGAAATTAACAACAAATGATTAAAATGAACTGTCTTCGAGACATAAAAATCAGGTATGTAAAATTTAGTAACTATGTAACTCAAGACTCATTCTTCAGTCAATCACATTTTCAGAAGTGAATCTGTGGACTACCTAGGCTTTGGACATATTTGTACGTCTGTGTGATTTATAATATGGAGGCATTTTTGAAAAAAAAGTGATTTGACGAAAGCATGATATGTGCTTTATTGATTCAATGCATATAACCGTCTATGAATTTTTTTAATTTTTAGTTTATCCCCGTTAAAAAAACATTCAAGGAATGTCACACATAAAGAAGTCCAAGTTTACATGTCCAGGAATGATGTTGAGGTCGCTGATGTAGAACCTTAAAACACGTCGTCGCCAAACAACGTGGCGGATACTTCTAGGAACGGTAACAAGTCTGACACACCTTAATCAGACGACCGATTTCTGTTTACAAAAACATTCTACCGCATTAGAGCAAAAGAGGAAATAACATTGGCAAGTCATAGGATGTACAAGGCGCCGTCAAAACAGTGGCGGAAGGCATCTGATCAGCAAAGTTATAATCGTGACCTAGTTTCCCATATTCTGCCAAGTTACCCCACTACAATGAATCATGATAGACACTGTCAAAACAATATGTTTTTGTTGAAAGGAATGTTAGTTAGCGTTGTTTAGTGTAACAACCGAATATGAAACTAGAGATCACTTACTTTTTTCCACAGAAGTTAACTCGCACCTGTATAATCACTGAGACGGCACAGACTGATGACGTCAGACATTTTTGTGGAGCGCATATTTCAACAGAGGGCAGCACGGTACAGCCTTCGTGCCACTCCTCCAAGACAAAACAATTATTAGTAGTTAGTCGTTAAAATCAATGTAATATCACACCAGAAACACTCAAAACCAAGTTACTGTGGTCTTGTGTAAGCTTACAGACACTTGTTGGATCTTGTAACTCTTCCTATTTATGTTCCTACTGATAAGACAATTAATATTGCTAGGTACATGCTTCTGTGATGCACACAATGCTGCTCTCGAGAGGATTGAGGGATGGGTTTTGTTGAGTTTAAGGGCTCCACCAAACATCCGACCCATCCTTTTCCTAAAAAAAAATTAAAAAAGAGAGAGAGAGAGAGAGAAAGAGAGAGAGAGAAATAGTGGATTAATCCTAACCCCTTCATAAAAAAGGGGGTGGAGGGACCACAGAAGCATGTTTTATGCTGTTTAAAAGGCAGACTCGAGGAAATTTTCACTGCAGACAAAATCAAAGAAATGGAATTTTACAAGGCATTTTTCCATTTTCCTGTATATTTTTGCCCAGAGTAATTATGCAACATGCAGTAAAAGGTACACATGTAGGCCCTATTCTACAGGGGATTATCGCGCCAAATCTTATTTCCCTCGAGAAAAAAAGCAATTTTTTCTTTCTCACGAAACGATGTTCGACCCGTCCCTGCACTTGAATTTGATTTTTTGACCATGTCTAATCAAATAACTTAGTTCTAAACGAACCATGATCGATTTAGGCGGCCATTCGTCTTTATGGCATTTGCGAAGAAAATATCGACATCATCCGAAACTTCAACAGCATTTGAGAAATTTTAGTCCTTATAGTTATCAGTTCGGAGAGATAGGTATCCGTTTGGAAAGATAGGTACCTTTGCAAATAGGATGCTAATTCCAATTAAATACTGTATAAGAAATATTAGGCCTACTTTGGGATAGGTCCTGTTTTCAAAAGCGCTTTTAAAAGATTCTTTTAAGCTTACAAATATATACATTTTGAATGTGTCCAAAATCATATTTAATATCCAAAATACAAGTCGCTGACAACTCTGCTGTTATCCTTTTATTTCAGATTGTGACCATTAATACATTTATGACCAGACCATACAAGCAAGGTTAAGATTTTTAGGAATAAGCCATGAAGAATACTACATTCTAAAATTTTCTGATATAAGAAAAAAGATAGATATTGGAGCCAGTGGCGGACTTGGGGGGGGGGGGGGTAGGGGGGTCCTGGACCCCTCCCCTTCGATTTCTGAAAAAAATCACACCAATTGTCCCCTCTTGAAATTAGAATTTTGACCAGCTGAATTATATTTCGAAACCACAACAAATGGCACCGTTCGCCCTCTAAAATACCAAAATTTTGCGGGCCCCGAACCCCACGCCAAAGGGGGGGGGGGAGGGGAAGGGTCGGCTTTGCATCCGCGGACCCCTCCCCCTTCAAACAATCCTGAAACCGCTTGGGACATTTGACATTTTGGATAAAATACATTATGACATATCTTGTAGATCTGCAATGTAATAGGCCTAACAAGATGAGGCGCGGTATAGATGCATGTACCTTTGAGACATCCTTTGAGAGTGTACCTTTGTCTTGAGTGTCTCTGTACTTTATTCACCATAGGTGTTCAAAGTTGTTTTATCTGTATCATAAACAATCATGTATAAATAATTTCAGTGTGAAATTATTAATACATGATTAATAATTTCAATATGAATTCCCGCCGAGCGTACTCTATACAAGGCTTTTTTTTTTCGTTTTTTAAAATGGAAACAAGCGTAACATGAACATTAATTATCTGGACAGAATTTTTGTTTCTTTATATGGCTATGGAGTATTTTTTTATTATAATTATTTTTTCTTTATCTTTTCTATCATCAATTTTTTTTCATTGTGTGTGCCTGAAGTAGTTTTGCGAATTCTGGCGAAAGCTGTACATATCTATATAGGCTACTGTTGACCTACTATTTTACTATCCCCATCAAATTTACAAGCTTTTATTTGGTACTTGGTGGTTTATAGGACAATATGGTGCAGACAATGGTTTTGCAATCGCTTGAATAAAACCCAGAGTTTTTTTCTTCTTTTTTTTTAATGAAACCTGGTACCTGACTATCAGTGCGCCATCTATTAGAAATCATGGTAACTAAAAAAGATACACGTAATGTTAGGTTTTCATCAGACGTTTCCTTACCATACAAATCATAAACGAAAGTGGTGCATGATATAACGAGTAGATGTTTTCATTATAAAGAATTTCTATTAAGTAAACTCTATACTGAGATGACATGTTTCCATAATCTTGTTCGGCAAGTGTTTTGAAATGAAACCTCAGCTGCCTGATTCTAAAAAGGCCCGGATATAGGTATTACTTCCGGTTTACATTGATGACAAAATCCTCGGAGATTAATGGCCGAGGTTTAGTACACCAGAAGTTATCAAACCGCTTATAAAGGTGAGTACGTCCCTTAGAATATTGAGTTATCATCATTCAATAAGAATGTACTTTATAGCAGTTCGAATAGGAGAGTAGTCTGATTACAAAACGCCAAAAGATTAAATCTCGAGCCAGGCTGGCATCGACACTGACAGCCTTGGTGATTGGCTATGCCGTTACATTGTGTTAAACTTCAACGGCATACTTCAAAACTTAAGCTCACGAAAAAAGCGTTTAAAGGATATTAAAATATATTTTCATTCGTTTATTAACGTATAATATCTTCGTTGTAGAAGTTATATGTGTACAATCAACACATTTTGACACGCAAACTATTTAACTTTTAAGCCCGAGGCAATACATTTTGAAAAAAAATCGCGTGAAAATAAGGATAGTAGTCGATCAAAAGCAAGTTAAGGCCCAGTTGCATAAAACTAATAATAATAATAAAATGCAGAAAATAAGATAAAATATTGTTAGTCTTTTGGAAATATTGTCATTTTTAATCAGTGCAGTTGTCAAAAAGGGGACAATTCAATAAAATTGACCTCACATTCAGGTTACATAGAATACCTCAAAAGACTATGCATCTTCCTGGAGGTATTGAGTTATTAATGCTCATTGCGCTGGGTGTATTTTAAAACCTGGTACCCATTTTTCTTTCTTATTTTTTTTCTCTTCTTATATTAAATCTTCTGGATACATCCTGGTGGAGTATATGGTAACCTTCCATTGCTTGTTATAAATAGGATTTGAATCATGAGCAAAAGAGAAATTTAAACCCCTCTGCTTTTTAAATTTCTCCCTATCAATCCATAATAAAATTATTAGCATATGTTATAACAGATATATATTTGCAGTTGTGAGAAGAGTATTAGCTGGGTAAGATATGGCATTGGACAAATTTCAGGGGCAGATCCAGAGATATTTTCTGACAGTCTTCCAAATTATTTTTCTTGATCCATCCTGTATTTTTTACCATCTCCGACATGAAAAATTAGATGGCTGTCAAACTTGAAAAATTCTGACTGTCTTACAGAAGTCCCAGAAGACAGCTTATATCCTCTCCTGAATTTGGCACTTAGATATATTTTAAGCTATATTCAGTGGGTGGGGTGATAGTAATGTCCCAGGTGACTAAGGTTTGCCTCCTAGGAGAATTACATATATCATTCTTGATGGTGATAACTATTTCTTACATTCGCATTTTGATTTTGTGTCAAATAAGAAATATGAAAGTATTGCCTCAAACATTGCTTTTTCTGTTTTAGAAGACTTTAAAGAAGCAGAAATTTCACACAGGGAGCTTGAAAAGAACTCCAGAAGGAAGTAATTGTGGGAAAACCAGCAGTCTCCAGCAAAAGCTTGGTACAAAGAGATTTATTTTAGTTCTGCCCCAGATTGCTAGATTAGCATGAAGTTAAGAATGACTTACACACAGTCTGTCATGGGGTGAATGCACTCTTTTTTTTTGCAAATGGAATCTAGGACATGATATATGCAGATGGATTAATCTGATATGGAGAATTGATCAATTACATAAATTGAAATATAAAGCTGGTACTAGTACTGTTCTCCCACTCCTCATTCCCTCTGCTTTGTGAAAGGAGAAAGATGGAGAGATTAAAAACTAGATGATTTGTGACCATATCAATCTGATGTCAGTTTTGATATTGAGGAGTTGTTGTTGTTGTTGTTATTATGCCTGGAAAACCACGACTCAGTAGTACTTCTAGTCTCCTGTGTCTCACCACTCTGCCAAGAATATGCCCAGTGAAAAAATTCAAACTCACCAGACTGATCCTTGGAGGATCTCTGCTGCTGGGTGCAGTACTCCTCTGGTTGTCTTACAACGCCCCCTTCAGCAACAGCAAAAGTGCTGGCGAAAGAAACTCTCCCCCTGTGCCGCACCTGGAGTGCCAGGGCCGTGCACAGAGCATCTACAGAGATGACATAGGCATCCCCCCCAGGGACCATGACTCTGACGCCAAAATGAGGATCAACAACCACGTCTTAGTTCTTGTGGAAACACAATATTCACGGCTTGGTCAGGAAATTGTGGCCATCTTGGAAGCAGCCAGAATAAAATTCCGTGTGGAGCCCACAGGGAAGTCCTTGCCTTATCTGACGCATATGGACAAAGGCAAGTTTGGAGTGATTGTCTTTGAGAACTTGGAGGCCTACACCAACATGGACAAGTGGAATCGCCAGCTCTTGGACAAGTATTGTAAAGAATACCACGTGGGTATGATCATCTTTGCACCTTCCAAAGAAGATGGTATTCTCAGCTCCCAGGTGGAAGGGTTCCAGTTGTACATACACACAAACCTAGTTTTAAAAGACTACAAAATAAACCCGCACTCTAACATTCTGCGCTTAACACGAGCTGGAGAGACATGGCAGGGGGATCTGCCAGATGAGGACTGGACAGTATTTATCGCCAATCATTCAACTTACCAACCTCTGGCTTATGCTAGTATTCGTATGACAGACCATTATTCCTATGACAGCGTTGGGGAAGACGTGAAGCAGGTGGTTGTTCTACAAGATCTGGGGCTCTGCGATGGAATACAGAGAGTTTTCTTTGGGAATGGGTTTAAATTCTGGCTACACAGGCTTTTATTTTTGGATAGTTTATCCTATCTCTCCCATGGCAAGCTGAGCCTGCCTCTAGAAAGGTACATACTTCTGGATGTTGATGACATCTTTGTGGGCAGGAACGGGATTCGGATGCATGCTGATGATGTAGAGGTAAGTGCGCATTCAGGTCAAGCTAGAATTGACAGTTAGGTTAAATTATGTAAATTTATGTATAAAATTGACAATTACGTGAAATATCGAACAAGTTTTTCATATTAACTTTGATTTTTATGTCGAAATCTGTCATGTTAAATATTTTTTTATTGTGTGTGTGTGTGTGTGTGTGTGTGTGTGTGTGTGTGTGTGTGTGTGTGTGTGTGTGTTTTGTTCTTTTCATCCAAGTAAAATATGCTTCACTTATCTAGGCTATGGTACTGTTCCAAGAGCGATGGCAGAAGCAGATCCCTAATTTCCATTTTAATCTGGGGTTTTCTGCTAAATACTTCCATCATGGAACACCAGAGGAAGATCTTGGAGATGACAGGCTACTTGGTAAGTTTTTTTAATACACTTGTCTTCATATTCAAACCGCCAAGCATAAAAACTACATTTGCAGTTTATTTGCTATTGATTTCTTCAGTCAGTAGTCTGGTGTTTAGCAGATCTAGTTATTAAACAGACTTCAACATTACCTCCAGTCATGTATTTTTTTTACAAGATAATTGATAAAATGTTTCTGTAAATGTGACATTAAGGAGAGAGGTGTATAAAAAAAATGTGTGATGTAAGTTTTATATTTGAACTATGTTGGATTCATAATTACCACCTTTCGTGACTTGGTGACTTTCTAAATGTCTGGGAAAATGTGTGGGAGACAATGTGGTGGCATTTTACTCTTTACAACCAGTTGTGTGCAGTTTTTTTTCTACCCTTGAACTGTGTTTTTTTTATCATAGCAACATGCCAAAGAAGTTGCATGGGGTACTGGAAAATATGTTTAATGTAGCATTTTGTCCATCATTCAGTAGTCCATTAAGACAATTCACAATTGACAGTGGATGTCATATAGTCCTCTTTTTCTCCAAGAAATTATGACAAAATTAAATTTAGTTAATTAAAAAAGTTTATTACTTAAAAGGACAGTGACATCTGTTTTTGTTATGTAATGCTGTACCTGAATCACAAAAATGCCTAAACACATTCATTATTATTGTGAATAAGGCGTACAGACATGCTGAAAACTTTTCAGAATGGCCAGACATTTGGACCGGCAGTAATGAAAAATTTGCTGGACCGAATGGATTTTTGTCGGACCAAAAATCACCTTATTCGTTTGAGACAGATACTACCAGTACGATTAGGGTAGCTTACTTTTGTTTGTGAATGTGATAGGTTTGAAACGGAAGGGGTAAAACGCTTTGGGTTTTATATTATTTTATTAGCGAAGTATGTCGAATGATGACTGTAAATTCAAAATTGCAACTCTTAAAACTCTTGTTGGTCCTTTGGACCGACCAAGTCCAATTTTTTACCAGTCCAGACAAATTTTGCCGGTCATGATCGATCGGACGGACAGTTTCAGCATGTCTGGTCATACACTATACAGAACTGCATTTTGCCAGTGCTTAACCTGCAGTACAAGATTTTTGAGAAATGTTTTCAATTATCAAAATTAAATTACTGCAAATCATGGAATGTTTGTCTTATTTTGATAACGTATCACAATTGGAAATTACATTAAAGACTTTTTTAAGCATAGTATTGTAATATTTTGCATTACAGGCATACCATGAGTACTGGTTTTAAGGCACTCAAGTCATCCAGTTATAGATAAAATCAGCGACAAGTAGTAATACAATGTTAAACATGCCACATTCCCAGAAAGTTTATATCACATAAAATTCTTTCAGATTTAAACAGCCCAGCCAACTGGGTTTTTTCATTGTTTTGAACTAAAATAAAAAGTGCAAAAGTACAAAGTGCAAAATGCATAGTCGACCCTTGCATTGACTACTAGATTTATGGAAGGAATATATATGTGTGTCCCACAAATTCACTGGCAATCTATGTGGGTATTTGTCTTCCAGAGCACAAGTCTAAGTTTTGGTGGTTTGATCACATGTGGCAGCACACACAGCCGCATAAGTATAGCAATCAGTCCCACCTTGAAGCAGACATGGCCAAAAATTGCAAGTTTGCTCAGGTAATTTGGTAGGACAATGGCAATGATGGTGATGTTGATGATCGTGAACACATGATGACAACAAGGGTGCCAATGATTGGTGATGTGTGTTTGCTGTGACACGTGCTAAAATTTTGTGTTAACAGTGATATCTCATTAATTTTTTTTCAATAAATGACAAAAACTGGCTTTAAGCTTACAACTTTTAAAAAGACATCCAGTCTCGAAATAAGCATGAAACTAAGTGAGAAAGTGTTTAATAGTCAGTTCTCCTGATGAGCAACAGCTATTTTAGTCTGATCCCTTCAGACCTTTGCTATCACTGTCAACACAGAATGCAAGCACAGGTCCTGGTGGGTGGTAAGTTTCTAGAAGCAACTGGATCAGATGGAACTCTGGTAAAGGGTAATGCTTTAACTGTTGTACTTGTTTTCTTTAACTCTGACTAATTAGACCTACCACAAGGAGATGTAGGGAGGTAAGTAAGGCTAACATATTCCCTTTCCAACTAAGGATGATGCCTAGGATTTTGGTAGCAGCTGCAGAAGGGAGCTCACCAGTCACAGTAGAGGCAGCAGGAACATTGTCACTGATTGCACACAACTGCAACATGGGGCAAGACAGTGGACTAAAACGACAACAGTCCCTCTCACTACATTTTATATACACCCAAATATTTGATTTCTTTCGTTTCCTCATCAGCTTACAGACATGAATTTTGGTGGTTTGGTCATATGTGGAGTCACTCACAGCCACACCTGTTGAATGAGTCGACACTAGAGAATGAAATGATCTTCAACAAGCAGTTTGCACAGGTAGTATCACAGGAAGTGGCTTCAGTTAATATTCAGCTTGCAATTAACAAAGAACAAGCATTATGGGGAAAATGAAAGTGAAAGTTTGTAGAACTCACGCACACACACACACACACAAAGGAAAAGGGATATCTTTTTTATGTTAGACTGTCTGAAAGATACAGTCTTTTTGGTTCAAGCAAGGCGAGTTAGAAAATGATCCTGTTGAGACTACTTTTTCAAATGTCATCATTTTTTGATGGAAATGTTGGTAGTTAATACATCTTTCAGTGTGATTGAAATTATTGAAAAAAAAATGAGGAGAAAGAGTAGAGCTAGAGTTCCATTATCACTTAACCACCATGAGGTACAGGTGTGCATGACACATTTGTGCATAACCACTTTCATAGAAATCCCATAGAAATTTAATATTGCCCCTGCTTTTAATTTTCCCTTCAAACAAATGGTGTGTGTGTGTGTGATAGGGGGTGTTTATCACATTACGTGGTATTGCGCTTGGTTTTTGCCTGTGGTTATTGATTGGTCCAAGATAGCACTATGCATTTAAGTGCTCTGATAAAACATTTTAAAGGTTTTTTTTTTAAGAAGAATACTTTGGCTATTTTTCCTCCAGTTTCTGAAATCGAGAGAGACATTTGAGTCTTTGCACACATGCATGTTTTGCATTGCAGTTTGTAAATACCAAGCACCCATATTTCTGAACTGAACTTTTGAAGTGACCAAATATTCAAGAAGTCAGCTGGTGTTTGTTTCCATTATAAAGTCTATCTGGCAGCTTTTAAAGAAAACATTGATTTAAGCGTCTCATATGGCAGTTCACATTCATACAGTGCCCCATTACATGAACACAATTGAATTTTCATTAGACATTACAATGCAACACACACTATTTAGTAAGGCAAAATATATTGATTTGCAATCTTAAATTGATAACATTATTTGCCAATACACCAGTAGCGGGACCAGCTTTATTTACACAAGTTTTATCCAGTGATTTTGGATAGGGTGTTTAGATCGTTTTTTTTTTTTTTTTTTTTTTGCCTGTAGGACAGTTTATCAAATTTATAGAATGTTAAATGTCTGTATACATGTCAGCCTTAATATCTGGTTTGTACTCTATTAGTCCTAAATGCTCTTGAATGGTCCTGTAATTAAGAGTAAAAAAGGGTAGTTGGGAGTAGAATGTATCTGATCAGAATGTCCCCANGCCTGTATGACAGTTTATCAAATTTATAGAATGTTAAATGTCTGTATACATGTCAGCCTTAATATCTGGTTTGTACTCTATTAGTCCTAAATGCTCTTGAATGGTCCTGTAATTAAGAGTAAAAAAGGGTAGTTAGAAGTAGAATGTATCTGATCAGAATGTCCCCAGAATGGATTTTTTCACAAGGTAAAGTATTAAGATCATTATCACTTCTCACTGAAATAAGTGCATATAACACAACACAACATGACACAACAAGATGCAATACAAAACCAGAATGCACTTATTACTAGTAGCCTGCATATAGGCAGTTCAGATTGAGCTTGACCACTGGAATTGAAGTTCTCACCAGAGCATGCCTTGGCTTGACATAACAAAAAGGTATTATCTTGTTGCATGTTTTTGAAATTTAGATGTTTTTTGTGTAGAAGTTAGGATTAACAAGTTATAGCTAGAAAGTGCATTTTGATATGAGATTTTGTTACTAATGACAATAAAAGTATGATCAGAAATGCCATGAAGCATGCGCTGATGTACATGTAGCTTTCAAAGTGGACATTTTATTTGAACTGTTGGCATGGAATTTGATCAACCTTCAGGTGATTTTTACTCGATATAAATGTCATTCAAGTTACTTACTGAAAATGCTCATTCATTTATGAGGACCAGGGTTGTCCACTTAATATGGGCTGGGAAGTAGATGACCAGCCATTTTAAAGCTTGTTATCTCAACTACTTTTTGCAAACCACAGTGCTGTGCAACACCAACTTGGAGCTAGAAAAAGATATATTGATTGGCATACACACTGAGCCTGTAAGATGTCAATTTGAACCAGATGTCAATTTTGATGAAGTTTGTTAACTGAAATTTCTCTGGAAAAGGTTGTGTTTCCCAGTAGTTTACAACCCTTTGTAGATTTCATCTTTGCAGAAACACTAATGAAACTCAGATTTCTGCCAATAATAAATGAAAAACCCAATGACTACAGGCAAGTCACAGTAATCACCAGTAGACACAAAATTTAAGATCATATTTATAAGTCCAGCAGAGAGGTCCATTAGGAATAAGTCTGGGAAAGTGTCTTTTGTAACCCTAAGTACAGTCCCATGTTTGAACTCCACTTGCAGGGTCCCATGTGACAAAGATATTGATGATTTGGCTATTGCGGTTGTCTTATTGCCTTCAGTGTTACTTTTGTGACCTGAAAAGTGGAGATTTTATTGATGACTGTTCCTACCAGTACATCTGTAAAGGTTTTCGGAAACGCACGCAAGTTCTTTTGATGAAAATTTGAATAAAGGTTTTAAGTAACCACTAATTTTTTCTGTGATTGACAAGAAGTGTATAAATTTTTCAACTTTTTCTACTGATGGTGCCATGGGGAATATATATATATATATATATATATATATTTAACAATTTTAAAAAATGCCATTGAAGCTTATTTCTCAGCATTAATTTGTATGTGTTGCCGTATGATATTCTTATCATAGACATTAAAAGAAGCAAATTTTAACATCTTTTGATACTCATTAGATATTTAAATTTACTTTTGGATAAATTTAAGATTAATTGTTGAAAAAAAAACACATAGGCATTGATAGAACATATACTTTTAGATTTTGGCATTCGAGTTCATTCATTATAGGAGCGAGGTATTCCAGTTGAGTGGAATTATGCCATAGCACCACACCACTCTGGCGTGTACCCCATCCATGAGCAGCTGTATGAGGCCTGGAAGAAAATCTGGAACATCAAGGTGACCAGCACAGAGGAGTACCCTCATCTTAAGCCAGCCAGGCACAGGAGGGGATTCATACACAGGGGAATCAAGGCAAGACTTTGTGTTTTGACAGCATTCAAGAAGGTTGATTGTACATATATATATGAAGTTGGTGATGATATTAATGGAAGGTTAGACAGACCATGAAATTACCTTTGTCACATTTATGCCTCAGTAGAGAGTCAAACAGCAAGTATAATATGCAATAGGAAGGTGGGCATTGTATTGATTATTTGCAATTTATTAGGTTCAATTCATGAGGTTCACCTGAGTAAACATGGCAAAATTGGCCCAGTGTTGCTGTATTTACAGGGACATACAAATTTCTAGAAAGGTGAACTACATTATTTCATGTAATCAGAAAATTATATTTTCACATCATCTTTCAGGTTCTACCACGCCAAACCTGTGGGTTATTTACGCACACGTTGTTTCTGAACCAGTACCCTGGTGGCAGACAGAGGCTTGAAAACAGTATCAGAGGAGGGGACCTTTTCCAGACAATCGTCATTAATCCAGTAAGTGTGGGCACTTACTGGATCACAGTGCCAACTTTTTCTTCACTCTTATGTTTCTTGAAAAAATCAATTATTTGATGTGTCAACCTAATCAATTTTAAGTGAAATTATATATTCTTTGGCCATTGTTCAGGTTAAAATAACTTAAATTATTTTTTCATGACAGTATGTGACAAACTTATCAACCTTTTACCTGATTGTACCCGTTCATTATTTTAATTGTTATGATTAAAAATTCTTAGTGGTCCCAGGGCAGTATAAATACAGGCTATGACCTAACTAAATACATGCAATACATTGAAACAATAACAATCCAAAAATGTATATTACACAATGTGAATTTCCATAGATAGTATCATCATTGCACATATATATCAAGTATTTCATAATCATAAGCTTGGTGGGATCTTAATGCTGAATCAAGTGCTCACAGCATTGATTGTATACTATCATCATACTTGTAAACAAAACAAGTATATAGAAATAAATTATGCACGAGCCTGTTTTCTACTAATACTGTAACATTAGTTTATGCAAGCAATGGCAATGAAATTTTTTCAATGAATTTTTCTCACCATACAGCTTTACTGTCCAGTTATCATCATTATCTAATATTTTACTGAACAGCATTTGCTCTACATCTTTTCAGATCAATATATTTATGACTCATATGTCCAATTATGGCAGTGACCGCCTGGCCCTTTACACCTTTGAGAGCGTGTTTAAGTTTGTGCAGTGTTGGACCAATCTCAAGCTTCTCAGTGCCCCGCCCACTGTGCTGGCTGAAAAATACTTCAGTATGTATCCTGAGGAGGCGGATCCTTTCTGGCAGGTATGAACGCTTGAAATTTTGAAAAGGGAATTTTGTAAATGGAAGGGCTTAAATGGAAATCTCTAGGGCTCTCTGCCTTTGGACAGCTGATATAGGATTTATGTACTTTAATATTATAGGTCAGGAAAGTGTTTTATAGGATATGCCCTTTCTAGTTTACTATACATTCTTTCAGAATCCTTGCGAGGATCCACGTCACAGAGAAATCTGGTTTAAGAACAAGACTTGCGATCGCTTGCCAAGGTTTTTAGTTATTGGGCCACAGAAAACAGGTAATATGTTTGTAAATTATAGCTTTCCATATGTAGTTACCTCCCCTGTGCACCTACTTTTACATTAAAATTGAGTGGAAAATGTATATTAATCTTAGCACATACATGTTTAGTAAAACAAAAGTTGTGGAAAAAGCTACACAAACTATCTGTGATGGTCTAGATTACATTGGAAACTAATGTTTTACCACCATTTCCTATCTGAATTATTGATGAACTGACTATTCTACAGGTCACTAATCAGTTTAAACAGTTATTCATTAGCAGATCGTTCCAGGCTTTACACTTGACCTTTACATGAAATGGGATTTGGCTGCTGTGCCTTTATATTGAATACATCAGTTATCACAGTGTCATTTAAATTAAGGAAACTAACAATTCTGTGTACTTGATTAAAGCTTCTTCATTCATTTACATAATTTGCTGGATAGTTCATGAGATTTGATCAGATATTTGTGGTCTGGATTGCATCAGCATGGACTTAGAAGACCAGAACAGATTTAATTTCCAAATTCTGGGCCCTGTAACTCAAAAGCATCGTGCATTGTGACCAAGCGCAAGCGTCTTGATTCCATAACTTGCCCATACTCGTCCCATATAATACATTTTAGCCTCTATGTGATATCACTATTCGCAATATGTGATGCTTTCGAGTTACAGAGCCCTGATGGATGGTTACCTTAAACTTGTAATTATTGTCAAGACACCTGTGTACTTAAACATTTCCCGGTATTTTTCCAGGTACCACCGCCCTTTATTCTTTCCTGTCTATGCATCCTGCCATTACCAGCAATGCTTGGAGCCCAGAAACATTCGAGGAGGTTCAGTTTTTCAGTGGAAACAATTATTACAAGGGACTAGACTGGTAAGAGAATCATGACTGGCTTTTCTAAAAAGATATTGTCTTGCCTCCTCCTGGCCGTGAGTAGAATACAGATATGCTGGTGATTACACAAGTACTTTGGAAACAAGAGGAGGCATATTAATTTGATTGCATTCAGTGAGAATCCCCGAGTTTGACTTATCTACATAGAGTGGTACTTTTATTGGGTATTAGCCCTGTGCCGAAAACTCTTTAGCCTACTGTCTTTTTAGGTCAGCAAGGTCCAAGAATCTAATAATCCAAAGCAGAAACAATGGCCTCTAACTGAGCAAATTTACAAAATTTTACTGGTCCAGTTTTACTGGGATTTGGCATTGCACCAGTGTTAAGATAGCAGACTGTTTCACTGTTGTTTGAATGATTTAAATTTCTGTCTTTCAGGTATATGCAGTTCTTCCCTCCACCAGTCCCAGGCACAAATATATCTCAGAATTACCTTTTTGAAAAGAGTGCCAGTTATTTTGATAAAGAACGTGTCCCCATGCGGGCACATGCTTTATTACCAAAGTCCAAGCTGATCTGTATACTCATCAGCCCAGTAAAAAGGGCCTATTCCTGGTATCAGGTAAGGTGACGTTTTTATCTTGCATATGTTACTATTAACAGTTTATAATCAGATCAATATCCAAAGATATTATTAATCTTCCAAGATTGACGTACTTCTTGCCATCTGCATGAAAAATATGTACTGTGCAAGAACTCTGCTGTCTTAGAAGGATAAAGTAAGACAAATACAAATTACAGATTTGGAAGAAGTGTAAGCAGTACAGTGAGATATAAATTATGCCCTATGTGTAAAACTAAAAGTTTCCTTTCTGTTCAGCATATGCGAGCCCACAATGACAGCACAGCATTAAGATACTCATTCTACGAGGTTGTGACAGCCAAAGATGATGCCCCCAAGGCTTTACGCGACCAACGCAACAGATGTCTGGTCCCAGGGATGTATGCACAACATATCGATAGGTGGCTGCAGTATTATAATGTTAATCAGGTAACACAGCTTTTCTTTACTTAAATCAAGTTAATTTCCCAGTGAAGATCATACAAAGTTTAATAAGTGTCTTTCTTAAAAAAATAATTAATAATTTTATTTATTTATATATATATATATATATATATATATATATATATATATATATTTATTTACTTAGAATTCAGTTAATCATTTGATGTGGATTTTGTTTGAAAGGCAACATATATTGAATTTCAGAAGTGGATTCGATGTCATTGCTTAAACTTCATAGTAGCATTCTATAACTCATCAGCTTGTCCATGTTTATCTTTTTATGCTATGAATATTTCCTTTTTTTCTTTTTTTCAAAATTTCTAAAGAGCTGTTATTGTGAAACCTATCAGAAGTTGATCTGTTTTGTTTCATTCTGTAGTTACTTATTCTGGATGGTGAACTGCTGAAGACCAACCCTGTGATAATCATGCATAAAGTCCAGAGGTTCTTGCATATAGAACCGTATTTTGATTACTCAATGCATTTAAGGTGAGACATAATCCAGAAGTAAGTAATAGTGTAAAATGAGGTGGAATTTGTAAGGAGGCCATTAGGGAAGATGTGTGTGAACATGTAAATGGATAATATAATATATATGTATAATTATCTTGAAACAACCATATGATTTTAAACATGAAAGATAGTGAAACAATTTATGAAACTAAGCAATACTGCTAGAAATTGGTGTCTATCTTTCTAGTGTGTGATATACCCAGTAAGTATACATTTTGTTTATCTACCTACTTAATCCAACATTTATATCACTTCCATGCAGGCATGCATGCACACACATACACACAGTCCATATGAAGTCAGGGGGGAAAAGATCTTAACCTTTATTTAGTACAAGAATGCTAAGCAAAATCAAAGTCATGTAAATATATATATTATTTTGTTTCATTTTCTTTGCAGATATGATTCAAAGAAGGGTTTTTACTGTCAGGTTGTTAATGGGGATCACACCAAATGCCTGGGGAGGAGCAAAGGGAGAAAGTACCCTCCCATGGACTCTGAATCTGAAAAATTTTTGCAGCAGTATTATAAAAGACATAATGTAGCATTGTCCAAAATGCTTCACAGGCTTGGTTTAGAGACTCCTAGCTGGCTAGAGGAAGACTTACGAAACTTTGAATAACTATATGGTTACTAGTCTAATATGGTGTCAAGAATTGTATGGTTACTGGTTATAAATATAGAGGGCAGCACAAGCACTGGCATGTTAGACAGTGGGACTGTTGCCTCAGTTTTGTATGACAGGTATTTGGAAGTTTGTAGGAAAGGTATCAAGAAGCGAGAAAATATATATGATATGATATTATGACAAAAGGGACATTATGCAAATGTAGGTTTCACCTGCATGTGTTAGGAAGAACAGCAATCATAAAAAGACAAACAAACAAAACTAACAAGGGAGTGTAAATCTACAGTTGTATGTTTTTAGTTGTGCCACCATCTTGATGTTTGGTGGCACTATGGATTTTGCACAGTCCCACTTCATCTAAGCCACCATCTATGTCCAAGTCTGATTTTTGTGATTGCAGTAACTCTGAAAAATTTCATTTCAAAAAGGTGAATGACTGTGGTTGATCCTAAAGGGATTTTTTCCCAAACATTAGTGCAATGACTTAGATCTGTATCCAATTATGCCTAGCAAAATTCTCAGTATCTCACCTACAGGGATGTGTAGGGAATTATGTTTGAGTCCTAGAAAAACCCAAGCTAATTGCAACCTTCATCCTTAATTTTTGTTATTTTCATGAAATGGTACAGAACTTACATGCTTTGAAGATGTTAAGATGCATATTTGCATGTTGCCAATATTAGAACCTGTATATCTAGGTAATTTGAAAGGATACAGGCTATGTTCACTAGTGTATAGTAAAACTGGCATGTTAAGAGAAGTCAAATATGGTCTCCACTTGGAAATCTGAAACAACAGTCATTGTGATTTATAGTGGCTGTAATGGTTTTAAGGGTCATTTGGTGCGTTTTCAGAGATGAACACACATTAAAAGTTAATGGTCCACATTTTGTGATATCTTTATCTTTTTTGGAGTTGCTATTTAAAAATTCCAATGACACAGGTGTATATTTTAAGTTTTAGGGGGGAATATCTTTATTATCACAAAGAATGGCATACCATTACTATTAAAATTGAATTGAAAGTGATAAGCCAGTCATGGAATTTTCCTTGACTTGTTTTTTACTTGACCTTGACACCTTCTTTTAAGGGTGAAATTTGAATAGTGGCCAGTTTTGTAATGCATTTGTGTGTATTTAGTTGATTTTTAATCAATTTTTATTTAGATTCCAGACAATATATTTAGTAAGTGGGTGTGTGTGTGAGGGGGGGGGATAAGACATCAGAGATACACAGTTTTATGTGTGGGCACTGTTATGTGCACACATTCCACTTGACGATCACAAAAACAGTAGCAGCCACCTCACATTTAATAAAGGCCACGTAAACAATGCATTTTCAAAACTTAGGTTCTGTTTGATCTCGGGTTTGGTAAATGCCTGTATACTGTAATCTACAAGATCTTGTTAATCTTAGTCACACTGGCATATAGCAATTGCCTACTTGTATAAGTGTTGGGGCCAAAACTATAACACCACACAGATCTTATTACCACAGTTTCTTTAAACCAGTGTCACAGTTTTTCTCTAAGCACCATGGGGAATTACATATGGGGCTGTAACAATACAGGTTTGAACGTGGACATGATCAAGAGTGTAGCTTTAAAAGTTATACTTTTTTGTTATATTCTGAACACTGCCAGATATTAGGCTTACTTTTTGTGAGATAGGTTGACTCAGATTTGTGTCAGTCTTTGTTAAAGACTGGTATTTAAGTTCTGATGTGAGACGGGGCCCAGGTTTGGAAAATTCATCTACTTCTCAAGGTCATAGTGGTGAACTGGATTCCTTTGGGATTGGTGTTTCCATAACTAAGGCTATAGTTAATTCTACAGTAATAGCAACAGTATGTGCTTGTGTAAAGTTTAAGTTGTTAATTGTCCCACATATGTTAACTTGACTTGTGCCTAACTTAGAAGGTGGTGAAATGATGCAGGTGAATGTTATGTTTGGCTTTATTGAGGTTTGAAATGGTCTATTGAAATACATTGATATTAGTATGCAGCACTATTTATTTTTATTATTATCAGTATTTTTATGCTTTCTTTAAAAAGTATAGATAATTTTACAATTTGGTAGTTGAACCACTTAAAAGGCAATATTGTGGCTGGTGGTACATACCCAATGGGCTCCTAGTTCTCATGGGTCCTGCACCTCTACTTGTGTGTTGATTGTGTATTTGTCAGCTTTCTTGTGTAGTTATGATGTTTTCTGCAAAGGAATTATGAAGTCTTCCAAAATCACTGCAAGTCCCAGTAAGATAATTATAATTCACAAATACATTGGCTTTGATTTTTGTATGCAAATGTCTGATAATTTGTACATAGCAGTACTGTAACTGTTTAGGGAAAGTGTGATTTCCCTTGTTTTTATGAGCTATGTAACTTAGGATCTGGGAAGTGATTCTACATCTTTCTGCAGTCAACTCTAACTCTCTCTCTCTCTGTGGTGTGTGTGGGTGTGTGTAAAACTAAATTTCCTCTTATATCACAGTGTATCTATTTATAGCAAAATTTACAGCACACTTCAGTGCAATAGGATTGCCTTGTTACAATATGATGGGACCTTGAGGTCAATGAATATTCCTTCTCAGTTTTATGAGAACTATTATATTACCTATATTAGGTGTAAAAAGGGAAGTGGAAATTTTTTTTGACATTGCAGTGTTGTAGACAAGATGTTGATGCCATTTAGAGGCTTAATCTTATTGTGTTAATGTATAGAACCAACCCTGGCAGTTTTATTTCATAGCCTCCTAATTTGGTTATAACATGAACAATACAGGAAAAAGATTACAGGTACTTTCACCACCACTGGAGGTACATTGGATTTGGCTTGAATCTGGGATTCTCTGGCCGATTAATATCTACCATCAAAATTTATCCTTTTACAGCATGTGGTGTATGTTACCTTTGTTTAAGGCAATATGTTTTACTGATTTATGACAATTTTGCTTACATTTTATGTCGGTCACAATTGCATGTCTGGCACAATAAATTATTTGATTAATAAAACCATATTCAAAAGTGAGCATTGAGACTTGTTTTGTCAACATTATTATGAAATTTCAAATCAGAGTCCTAACCTGTAGTACAAAAATTACGCAAAAAAAAATTAATTCTAGTTTTGATGATTTAAAGAGTAATTTTGTGACTGTATCATTCAACTATGTCTTTCTCATGCCATCCCTCACATTTTACTTCGTATTTGGGGTTTATCTAAAGTGGATTAGTTTATTTATAAATATGATTTCAATTTCGAAGTAAATCTTTGATGAAAAATCTGTAAATTATACTTGCTGGTTTCACATTCTTGTTTAAAATTAAATAAACTTTGTTTGCAAGTTATCCGTAAATGGATTGATGTGAACATAAACAAATTATGGATGTCCATGATGTGAATGTGAAAATTGTAGGAGCTCTTTGTACCATCTAACAGTAACCCAAGACATTTAAGCTGTGTAAAAAAGCCAAGTACACCAAAATGATAAGACTAAATTTTACATGTGTCCATTATAAGCAGTTGTATAATCTTGTAAATAACAGTATTCTGGTCCACTGAGTATGTATTTTCACTACTTTGCAGTTTTTTTTTTAAACTGTTTAAAGTTAAACCATTTTTTCTGTCTGAGAAGACAACACAGGTGTGTAATGAGGGGCCTGCATAAGAGGGTCGCTGTTGCTGCTGAATACGCGCACGCAATGCTAAGAGCCAATGAAAACAGGAGATATTTTACACTCCGTTATAGGTACACAGAAAACACGTTCGTCGAGTCAAGGGAGTTTGTTCGCCGATGGAGATGACAACCACTGTAAATGGACGTAGAAAATAGCTCCCCTTTCTTTGGTAAGATTTGTTTGAGTATGACTTTGCCCTAGTTGTCAGACGTGCATGCTGCAAGGGGGAGATATGGAAAATCAAATACTTGTTGTTATTGGGGGGGGTAGCACGAAATTAGCACTGCTATTTACAATTTTTGATATACATTCTGTATTAGCATAGCATGCAAATCAAGAGTCCATAACGTCAATAGGGGAAGGGGGGTCTGCAAAAGTGTCGACTTATTGAATATACTAACTTGGCATATACTACTACTACTACTGTGATGGAAGGCCGAAACCTGAGACAAGAGCATTAAGAGACGAAAAGCGAAGAGGTGAATCAAAGTCAATGACTGAAAAAATGTTTCAGGATATATACTGTCTCTGTGTGGATGGGTGTTGACTTTTACCTAGGCACCCTTGAATAAATTGCTTGTCCAAGCTTCGGTCCTACATTTTACCTGAATCTTAGCCGTCTCTTTGGGCTCATTACCAATGAAACTATCGTTCTACATGATCAACCCCAGTCTGTGGGACTCACTGAATGCAGTCAGATAAAAAATTAACACGTCTCCTGTTGGCACAATACAGAAGAGGTGGTGATCATTGGAGTATGTTGAGAAAGAAAAGGAAGCGTATTTATCTGTTCAACTGATTGCATTCAGCAAGAGTCTCCACAGAGTTGGATCGATCTGTGTAGAATGATAATTTCCTTGGGAATGAGCCCTACGTGTTACTGGGGGACTGCACATGACTGGATATTTCCTGCAGATGAATAATCTATGGTTTTTAACCCTTTAGTTTTTCAGCATGGATGCTGGCATGCAGCAGTTGATAAAACATGTCTCTGCCATAGAGGAGGTTGCAGATGATATTTTAGCAGACAAACAACATCTTGTTGACTTAGACAGAAAGAGGAATAAAACTAGAGAAGCTGTAAGGTAGGTATTTAAGGTACCGTTATACTGTATTATTTGCATTTGTTAGCATCTTAAAGTTGTATTGTCTATGTATGCCTAATATTCTTGCAAAGCATTTTTCTTTCCAAATTCAGATAAAAACCCCTCATATAAAAGTACCTGGTGTCTCAAGTCTTTATCCTTTTGGCTATCTGAATGTTTGTTGATACATTTCAAAATAAATTATTTGATTAGAAATATGATTTAAGAATTTAATCCCAGTGCAGAGACAGGTCAAGCATTGACCCATGTGTAGGAGAATTTTTTCTTTAAGATTTTCTTTAGTCTTTAACTGAGAAGTAAAAGATTCATGAAAGAAAATGTCATATCATTTTGGTAATTCCTTGACTATATCAGAATTCACTAAGTTGTGTCTTACATGAATTAAATGCAAAATAGTCTTTCCTAAGCACGCTGAGAATTTTGAGTAAGACACTGTACCTTTCATTAAGGAACTAGATCTATCTGTAAAAGGTGACTTTTTTCATACTAGGGGACTTGAAATGAAACCAGCAAGCCAAATTATATAGTGTACATGTACCATGTATATATTTATTTTTAAACCACATGCTTTTCACTCGGCAACAAAGAATATATTCTTAAGTATATCTGTATTTTTTTTTCTTGCAGGATACTTTCTAAAGACAAGGAAAGCAAGAAAACATGGGTCTGTGTTGGGAATATGTTCATCAAGATGCCTAAACCAACAGCACAGAAACTTCTCGATAAAGGTGTTTTTCATGCAACCACATATATGTTCTGTGTTGTGTTCTGTGCCTTTTGGCTCGGGCTGAACACAATGATCACTTTTAGTCTTTACCTCTGTTCTGTATTTTTATATTTTTTTGTATCTGAGCAATTATAGGGTGTATGCTGGGCTCAGTTGACAGTGCCAAATGATTTTATAATACAGGAGAACTTGCTTTCTTACATATTCCAGCCTGTAGCCATGGGGGAGGGAGTGTGTTGAACAAACTGCCTTTTAAGCTGGAAAAAGTTCTGGGTAAAATATGGTAAAGATACATGAAGATTTCATGGGAAAAGGTCCACTTTTTCAGAAAAAGAACCATCCCTTTAAAATTGCAGGCTATGGGCCTGCATATTGATTGATATGATATTATTGCTAAATGCATAGATTTGTATGTATGACAAATTGTTAAAGCTTATTTATTTATCTATTTTTATTATTATTATTATTTTTTACAATTTCAGATTTTGATCAGATTGATCATCAGATTGCTTCACTGAGAAATGGTCTACGACCAAAAGTACAGAAATTAAGAGACATGGAAAATAAGGAGGACATGAAAGGTTTCCAGCTTAATCCTCTAACAAAAGCTGAAATGAAATCTATAGATGATATGTTATGATTTTTTGTACCTTTATTACTTGAATTTTTACTGCTGTTTTTTACTGCTTACCAGTGTTTACTGATATTTTTGGTCCTTTTTACATGTATACAATTAAAAATCATGAGAGAAAAGGGAAAGAAAGGATTATGATTAATACCATTTAATATATTTAAATAGATTTTGAATTTATTTTATTATATGGTGAACCCGATTGATCAGTGGCAGATCCATGGGATGGATTGAGGCGGGGGAGCAATGGTACACGCCCCACCTTTAACTTGCGATATCCTGCCCTGCCCCCTTCACACTCTACTCTACTGTACTACTAAAAAAAGTATGGCGAGCAAATGAGACCAGGCCCTAACAATTATCTAATGCAGTGTTCTGTTATGTTTGCTATGTTAAAACCATCATCATCTGCCGTCATAAATTTGACATCCTCCTGCTCCAAGGTGTAAAAAAATTGATTGTAATCTTGTGAAGTGACCGTATGCAGTGATGCAAAGAATATGTGGAGTCCAAATGAAAGGTTCATGCATCTAGAAGTAACTTTGTAAAAGACATTTTAAAGTCTATTTTCATAGGTTTTCAATCGAATTAAGTATGTCTATAGAGCATCAAACTAAAGCTGATTGTTCAAATTTAACAGAAATGTCTTATTGTAGTCCATTCTAGCACCAAAAATGACAGAAATCTTTCAAAATAAAAACATTCACCTGGAGCTAGTTGTACCGTCTTATAGACCACAATCGTTTGCTCAAAACAGAGCTATAGATCATTGTTAAAACGAAGTCAAGGGTTTGTGAAATGAATACTAATTTAAGGTTGAAATTGTTAGTTACTTTTAAAACAGTTTATTATTCGTTATCATGAATAAAAATGTTTTATGCCATTATGAGTTTGTTTTAAAATTAAAAAAGTTCCATTCATAGATATTTGGGCTCTTGTTGTTTTTTCACACATGCATTATAATAAAGGCAACATATACCCAGTTTACCCAGTACGGTTTGCTATTTTACCACAAGTTAATATATTGGTTCGACCATAAACAAACGTAAGGAAAATGTTAGAATTACGTTCTACACTGCCACTATACACTGTACTCATCCGATAGACGACGAAGCACGTTCTATTCATGTTTATACATTTTCATGCTATTAACACTCACATTTTTCGATAATTAAAATTTTTTTAAATAATTTGTACACATTTAATGATCACATCTAACGTGAAAAATGTTCTCACAATGTTATGAAAATCTAATGATAAGTTTCGATAATATTCACCCATATAGCAAGCAGTAGTCGCGGCGCCGTCGGCACAGTCGCTGTGGCCTGTGGATAATCGTACCTGTTGGGTCGCAAGCCTGCGTCTTATGCTGTTTGAACAACGCCTAGTGGTTAATTACAATATGGGGTTGGGATTATTCGGCAACTAAATCGCTGCAGATTTAAAAGCTAAACCTTAGGATCTTCAGACTGACGTACCCGAATTTACCGATATGATTATTAAAAGCTTAAATAAACTATTAAACTGAATAAACCGGCATTTTCAGTACTTCCGGGAAAGTTTAAATAGACATCAATACTGTAACGAACTCTATCAAATTGACTGAAAGATTGTTTTAAAGTAATGTAAATAGTTGTTTGGTGTTAATGTTGAACTAGTGGATTGCTTCAACTTCATTTTCAGAGGTAGTTTCTAATAAACTTACTTTCTAAGAAACTTGCAAGGTAATCCAAGAGAGAGTTGAACGTTGAATAGCACATATAAATGCCAATCAACAAATCACTCGAGGATTCTAAATATTACTAAATAGACTCGGTGGAGTGAGTCCATTCCATTGTAGTTCATAACATTGAAAAAGATGTCAGGTATACCACGTCCATTTCATCTGAGGGGTGTCAGGTTGGGCGAGGTTATTCCATTTGAGGGGTGTCACGTGGGTCGAGCCTATTCCATTGGAAAGGGGTGTCAAGTGGGGCGAGTCCATTCTATTACAGGGGCGGGGTCAGGTGGGACGAGTCCATCCAATCAGGGGGTTTCAGGTAGGGCAAGTCCATTCCAAACAAGGGGTGTGAGGTGGGGCGAGGCAATTTGATCAGAAGGGGTGTCAGGTGGGGCAAGTCCATTCCAAACAAGGGGTGTCAGGTGGGGCAAGGCAATTTTATCAGAAGGGGTGTCAGGTGGGGCAAGTCCATTCCAAACAAGGGGTGTCAGGTGGGACGAGGCAATTTGAACAGAAGGGGTGTCAGGTTGGGCAAGTCCATTCCATTCGAGGGTGATAGGTGAATTAAGTCCATTCTATTGAAGGGGATGTCAGATGAGTCCATTTCATTGGAGAGGTGGCATGTGGGCCAAGTTAATTTTATTTGAAGAATCTTAAATATAGCTATTCCATAATTCAATACAAGAAAACTTTGCTTGCTGAGCATTTAGGAGTTCGTGAAATTCCAAATTGGCCACAAAAATACACGAAGGAATCAAAAATACATATTTGGCATATTATTTCTTATTATGTCAATTTGATTCAGAGAACAGGAATGGAAAATGTGTTCCGTTACACTCTCAAAAAATGAATTTTGAGCAAAGTTAACTGTTGCCATGAAAAAACGTGGTTTGAGGTTGCATTGGATCTTTTTGCTTTTTTATTTTTCTGTTTAAATACCAAATAGAAGTATTCGTACGAAGATAAGGTCATCAAACATAAATCAATTCATGGAAACAAAAAACAGATCCTTTCAAAATGGCCCTGTACTATATAAGGATAAATAGGAAAATTATATCCAGGACAAATGACTTCAGTGCATTTTACTATAGAACAAAAATTAAATGTGAAATTAAAAAATATATACACATCTATAAATGTTGGTTGTTTGAAACTTTGAGAAATTTTCTTTTAGTGTGCTAAAACAGCTTGAATGCTCAAATTCCATTTACATAAAATACTGGGCATTTTTCAACTATTCTAATTTTAGTTACCATACAATACTGTCAATCACCAAAATTATTTACAGATCAGATTTAGCTAATTTGAAAGTCCTCAAAAACGAAATAATAAAACTCATTTCCTCTTACCATAACTACTATCGTTAACATTATAATTTCATTGCAAAACGATAAAAAAACGCCGGATTACAAGTATTTATTCAGCTTTCATATCAGATCCACGGATGATCATGAACTTGTGGTTCCTTTGTGTGAAACAAAAGCTAGACACCGTAGGTTGCTTTTAGGCGCATGTTGTGCAGAATCTTGTTGAGCTCCTGAAAGGAGAAAATAATGTGTACAACTTTAGACTAAACGGACAGGCTTTTAACATACAAATAATGCATGCAATATCACAGAGGAGAGGGTACTTACAAATGAAATGGCGTGCGTGTCAATTGACTTATTATCATCAAAAGTCAGATGAGAGCGCCGTTCATCCCGTACATTTGGAGTCCCAATGCATTGTAACCAATAAATTCTACAATTCTGGGTGCATAGGGAATAGTAGTACAAGGGCTTGTGGCATAAATATTTGTCGTAAAAGGCAGTGGCTACTGAAGAAAAAATAATACTCACAAACATTTGCATTTGCTTCTACGCCTTATAAAAGCTACACCTTGTGACTGCACTACACATACTGTTGCATCTACACCCGACTATGTCCAACACTATCAAGCTAGTGAGCATTCGGGAAGACAGCTCGCACGACGATGAGCAAATTATTGTTATGCAAATCACAACAGGGATAGCTCATTTTATGTGAGAGGTTGTTAGCGAAGCTGTTCACGAATGTTCAGTGGCCTTCACATACAAGTCTCTAAGTTGTGCGTATAATCGATGTCACGTTTTTTTATTTGATTTGATTTATTTCATATTTAAAATGAATCTTATATATAGAATTTTATTCATAAAAACATTATAACTGCATTGATTACACAATAATGAATAAAACTTATTTCCATTGTGGTCCATGTGATATTCATACGTATCTCTTTACGCTAGGTGTGACAGAGCCTTTATATATGGGTTAGACCCTCATCAAACGTTAAGTGAACGTTTTTCTGAAATTTAACACGACAACTGTTATTTTCATTGATCCGAATAGTATTAACGTGAATAAATCTGGATGAGATTTAACAATTATACATTCTCGTTATTTTTAGAAAATAAACACGAAAAAACGATTTCAGACCTCGCATCTCCACAATTTTCTCAACTTAAATGATCAAATGTAGCGTGTTAAAAACGTTCTCACATTATTTTATATCAAAATATAATGATGTGTGTCGGTTATATGTACCCAGATAGCATGCAGTGGTCGCGCGAACGTTGGCACGGGCGGCAAGGTTGCGGTCGACAATCGCAGTCGGTCCAACTAGGTTGATACGTAAGCCTGTGTCTTACGGTATTTAATCAACACCAAAATTGGGGCTTGGGTTAGTCGACGACTAGAGCAGTGCAGATTTTAGAGCCTTCGGACTGTCGGTACATTCCTGAAATTACCAACATGTCAGTGGCGGATTAAGGGGTGGGGGTCAGGGGAGTCCTTACCCCTCTTTGGAATTCTGAAAAAAAAACCCAATGGTCCCCTCGTGAAATTCTAATTTTGACTTCCTGTATCATAGTTCTAAACCATACCAGATGGCACCATTCGCCCTCTTAAATACCAAATTTTTTCGGTGCCCTTCACCGGCAAAAACTTAAAACTGTGGTGAAAAAATTTAACTGAATTAAACTGAATACACCACCCACTGTTTATTACTTCCGGGAAGGATTAAAAAGACATCAATACAGTGACGAACTTTAAAAAATGATTAAAATGTCTTTTTAAGTAATCTTTATAATTGTTTGGTATTTATGGCGGACTAGTGGATTGTTTTTACTTTACTTTTAGAAATACATTCTAATTAACTTGCTCGCAAGGTCAGCTAACACAGGAGTGAATAAGCTAAGCAATAGAACGTGGGTTGGTTAAGTGAGTAACATTGAATGATAAATCACGGTCATCTGACGATCCTATCCGCATGAGGGTCTACCCTTAAATAATAAAGATATGGGAATTATATATCTCCCAATAGATAACTATACTGGTGACGTACAGGTCCATACATTATCTATATGGCCATACTTTCCTTGGAATATTTTACAAACGTTATATTATTCCTTGCGTTAGGGTAACATAAACCTAAGACACAATATATGCCAAGCCTATTGTCCTAGCATAAACCTAACGTTCCCTGATTCTTCTTACAGCATTCCTTTGTTAGCTGAGTAGGAACCTCAATATATCTGCCTTATTTGAACTACTTATTTACCAAAGACTCCAAGTAATCAATTTAATAAAATAACAAGGCAGCAAAGCTGTCAAATGTACAGACAAAAAGCAGGAAATAACAAAAAAGCTACTGTCAATTCTGATGCAAAAGTACACTATGTTAAACTGCAAATTCAACATCAAATTTTAATTATGCTCAACAGGTAAAATACATCTGTGTCTGTACATAAAAACGGCATTTCTTTAAAATAATGGCCCGATTATGCTGATTTTTGAACTCAACCTGCGATTTAGCAGGAATGACCATTCCTGTGAGTTTAATAACAATTGGCCTATCTGTTTTTCTTATATTGTGTTTACAGTGTTGCATATATGCTGAAAAGTGAAAAAAAAAAAGCATAACTACTAAAATAGTGGCC